CACATCTAGGAAAGGGAAAGATCTGATCCTAAACCTCCACTGCCTTGTGGGACATCTTCAGGAGAAGAATAGGCTAAGGAATAAACCCTACACAAATTCAGAGTGGAGTCCATAAGACGGTTGGACGGCGCCTTATATGCCTCTTTCCAGCAACTCCTGCAGCCAAGCTGATGCCAAATATATTGCTCTGCTTTCCTTTGGACCACATCAGCGAGGCTGAGGGGGGGGTCTTGTCGTTTGAGCAGCCCAGGACCCCATTCACACTGCCCAGGCTTGCGCCCCAAGGGAGGTCCATTCAATGCTGCTAATGCACTGGTTTGACTTCACCCCCAGAGGTACACTCCATTGTCTCTCGAGGCAGACAGATGCCAACAACAATATATGCATATATAGCATCACTAGGTGGCCAAATAAAGAAACGAAGAGTCCAAATCATTATAGGGCTGTCTTTCCTAAGAACACAAATGGCTGCTAGTCTTTTACTGTGTGAAAGATGAAACCGGTAGGATTTCAGATAGGCAGCAACTGTGTCAGGGAACAACATATTTTGACTCACACTGTCCTCTAGTGGTATTTACTCAGTCACATGCTAAATTGTGGACAGATGGGATGAACTTGAATAGATGAAGTGCCTGAGGGTCTGGAGAACAAGAACCATGTTTTCCCTTCAAATTTCTGCTTGGTGAGGCAGCAACAGACGACACACGTGTTTAGGCATGTGCACGCACATGTCCACATTCCCATGTGATCCTCTGTTTCCCCAAAGCGGTCCAGATTGTGGGGTTTGTTTGGATGCTGATTACCACTCTGGAAAAGGAGAGGGTTGCACTTTTCATCTGGTCAACTGGCATTCAGGGTGATCTTTTGCATGTCTGGCCACACAAAACTGCACCATACACACATCCCCACACTGGTCTGCAATGCAGAGAGCAGTGGGGGTATTGTGACACAACTGAGAGCTGACAGGAACATCTGTGGCAGGGAGGGACAGTGGACAAGGGACTTTTTGCAAGGGACCTTTATCGAGGTGGAGTAACAAAGGCCATTCAACTTATTTCTTGACCAGCAGAGGCAGGAAGTTTCAGAGTCAGAGGTGCCTCCGTCCCCTCTCGCATTGTAAATACTACAATAATAAATTAAGTAACTAACCATTTGTTGCCCATTCATGACTTCCAAAATCAGCTGCCGTGTGAGGCAAGCTGATTCATCTTGCGTAACTGTAGAGATACACTCTGTTTAACTGAAATCGCTTTGCGTGTCGAGGTCCCCAAGACACTCCCCCAAAGAAAAACACAATTGACACTTAATTTTTCTTTAAGGTTTTTGGCATAATTTTGGCCACAACTTTATTCAAATTACAGCAATGTGAGTGGTTGCTTAGGCATTGGTAGCACTAACTGACCCCGTGAAGTCAGCAAGGGTAAGTCTCCTGGGGAGAGAGACGGGACTGGGAACCATGCCTCACCTCTCCCCAGAATGCTCCCAGGGGCTTGCGTGGCCCTAGCCCCTTGCCAGGGGGTTTCGGACAAAAGCATGGGGAGCCCCTGGGTTCCTTTAACGGAAAACCCTTGAAGCAGCAGCAGCAGCAGCATTTTGGAGGGGCAGGCACAGCCGAATCCATACCCCTCCACCAACCAATTCCAAGACCAATGCCTAACCGCAAACCTTACAAGTTGTGACGATTTGCTACGCAGTAGGCAAAAACCAAGTGGCACACACTAATCAGCCAAATGGACAAAATTCCTACCAGGCCCCTGCCCCAAAGCAGACGACCCCATGACAGGCATAGCAAGGTCAAGCAAACAGCCTAAAATTAGGGAAGGGAGGGCGGGTGATCCGAAGTAAGCAGCAAAAAGAGGAAGTTCCTCCCTGCGAGCATTGTATTTAACAAATAGGGCTGTCAATCAACAAATGGCAACATCTAGATTTCCCCAGTAACAGCCCGCCCCTGCTTAAAGGATGGCCAAACCATTTGCCTAGTAACAGTGAGGTGTCTTGTCAGCCCCGCCCACAACCTGTGCTCTCCGTGAGGGAGAACACACTTTGTCGGCCTGCCAGTTCTCCTGCTTCAGATGATGCAGTAGTACATAGGCAGTAGTGAAGAGGCTTGATTTAGATGCTTATTATATTGTGAATGTTTCCATGCCATTTCATGCTAGCTCTGTCTCTAGCTCCATCTCTGATGTCTCAGTGGCCAAAACGCTTCCATTTCCTCTCCATGCTGCTTAATTGTGAATATGTATGTGGCGTCTTCTCTCTCATCCTGCAAAGAAGCCACTTCATCTTTTCTCCCAGAAGTCTGTTCAAATATTATAACTGCGTTTTCTCACATTCATCGTTCCGTATTCCTTCCTCTTGCTCTCCTTCCTCTTCTTCTCCTACACAGGTAGATGGGCAAACTGGCAGTTCCGCAGATAGTGTTGGTCTCGATCAGCCCTGGCTAGCACGCCCAATGGTCATGGATGATGGGATATGACATCCCAACAATCTTTGGGGGAGGCACAGGTTCACCACCCCCTACTCAAGTGTCTCCTTCAATAGCAACATTTTAATCAGAAGCTCCTTGCTTATGGAATTCTGTGAATCGCCCTGAGATCTACAGGTATAGGGTGGTATACGAACTTATTAAATCATCATCATCATCAAGGTATGTGTGTATATATGTGTATACACACACACACACACACACACACCCCATCAAAATTCTGTTTACTTTCTTAGCCTACACTGTAGGGCTAGAAGGCACACCACTTTCTTTCACTGTTTTCGTCTGAAAACCAATGGCTTCCAATGCTGGGGTGATTCTTCTGAAATGATCTAACATCTTGAATGGATAGTTCGTGCAGGTTTAGCACTCTTAAAAGTGTCATGTCTCTAGCAACAATTCTGTGTTAATTGCAAAGAACATTTGTCCCTTGAGAATTATGAATCAAAATTCATCCCCCCCCTTTTTTAATTTACAGATATTGAACTTTCATCTAACTTGACATCATTCGGACCACATGTCCTGTTTTATTCCACAGATGTGGGTTTTTATTAGTGTGAGTCAGAGAAACAGAATTGCATTCTTCTCTCCCTCCCCCCATAAACTTAGGGTAATCTATCTTCCTATATAGGATATTGCCATGGTAACCTTGGTGTTACTAGAATGACCTAATACAATTAACTGGGCCCTGTTCAGGCAAAATTTCCTTCTCACAGACCTTTGGTTTCCCCAGCACCCTTATTTCCTCTTCTCTTAACAGTAGCCAGAATACTTTGTGTTTAACCACTCAGGAATGATTCATACACCAGCTACTTTGATGTGATTCTGCAGGCACCAATGAACTTACTTTAGTATAAATGGTCTGTCAGCTGCTCCTATAAATTCAAGATCTTCTAGAGACACAGCACCAACTGACAGGAAGTTAAGTATTACCAGGTTGGATGTACCAAAAATGAACTCAACGGGGCTTACTTCTATTGCATGCATGTATAGGATGCACTGTTAAGAGTCCAATCCTGCATCATGAGGGCTTCAGTTGGATTTTAGCAACCTAACTGGACTCAGGATTGGATCCTTAGAGCTGGTTCACAATATAGTCATCGTCATGTCTCATCATTGCTTACTCAGCCTTGATGACTCAGCTGAATGTGAGAACCACCTATCTCCACAGAGGGGGGAAATGTCATGTTTCAGATGATAGGAATATGAAAAGTCTGTCAGTGGTGTTTGGTCTGTGGTGGCTGATACAGCCATGTAAATAGTAATAGTAGTAGTAGTAGTAGTAGTAGTAATAATAATTTATACCCTGCCCATCTGACTGGGTTTCCCCAGCCATTCCTGGTGGCTCCCCACAGAATATTAAAAACACGCTAAAACATGAAACATTAAAAACTTCCCTAAACAGGGTTGCCTTCAGATGTCTTCTAAAAGTTGTTTATCTGCTTGACAACTGATGGGAGGGCGTTCCACAGGGTGGGCGCCACTACTGAGAAGGCCTTCTGCCTGGTTCCCTGTTAACTTCACATCTTACAGTCAGGGAACCGCCAGAAGGCCCTTGGAGCTGGACCTCAATGTCTGGGCTGAACAATGGGGATGGAGACACTCCTTCAGCTGTACTAGGTCAAGGTCAGTACAGTGGTACCTCAGGTTACGAACAGTCCTGCTTACAAACGCTTTGGGTTACCAACTCCACAAACCTAGAAGTAGGTGTTCCAGGTTGCAAACTTTGCCCTGGGATACGAACGCAATCCGCTTCCGGGGCCGTGGGAGACCTATGTAGGGAATGCGCACCTCGGGTTAAGAACGCTTCTGGTTAAGAACAGACTTCTGGAACGAATTAAGTTTGTAACCTGAGGTACCGCTATATGATGTTATGCTGAGCAAGCAAGTAGTTTTCATTCCCCAGGTCTACTGGTGTGTCAGCACAGTCTCATATTCCTTGAGAAGGACCCAGGAGATGAGGAGACTTAGGCAGTTGTGGGAAAGGCCTTCAGTCTCCACAACTGCCTCAGAGGGGCAAGACCTACCGAGAAGAGTTGTCTTGCTCATTAGGCCTGGCACTCCTGAGTAGACCTTGTTTATTCTAATCAGTAGTCAACTTCGCTTACCCCATGTGATCTATTGTTGGCTTGTTCCTAACAGTGTTCTTCATGGATGTTGGCTGCTCTGTGCTTGTATGAATGAATAGGAGGTTTAAAATGTGATCAAGGCAAATATAGGGGGGGCATGAATGTGAACTGATGGATATTCATGAATAGATGAAATTGGTGGAAGCTGGCAGGCTAAAGTTAGTGGACGAAGTCACCAGGCTGAAGGCAGTCGAGGTGCCTGGGTGATGCTGTCAAATGGTAGCCATTTCCAGGCGTTTCTTGCTCCAGACGAACCTTTTAAAGATTGCAGGTGGCCCTCACAATGAGTGAGAGCCACTAGAAAGGGCCTTCCCAGGCTTCTTAAGCCTTCAGATGTCTCTGGTCCTGTGCTAAGACAACATTTTCCAAAACTCAGCCGGCATGGCGTCGAGTTTCCCACATTTGGGGGAAATCGCAAGGGTCAGCACACCTGGAATGGTGTTTGAGACTCACCCTGAGAAAACCTCCCTCATGCTCAAGATATCTCCCCTGTCCTGGGTTTGATACTGGCCTTGTCTTGCCTGAAGAAGCTTTGGTAATGCTTTCGATTTATCCAGAGAGCCCCAATCCCCAGCAGAGCAGAACAAATTGTAAACGGATGCTAGGATTCTACAGACTTTGTATGTACAAACCCAGGGTAGTTGGGCAGATGGCTTGTTTGGTTCAGGTATAAGGAACACCTTGCAGCAATATGGCAGGTGAAAGCAACAGCAGATCAGGAAAGGGACAATTGCAGTAATTCAGAGGGAACTGAGGACATGATATTGGCATTCGCAATGGCATGGGGTTGAGGGTCATGCTGTGAATATGGAGACCAGGCAGCCTACTGTAGTTAGGACACATTTCAGAACACTACCTGGGGAGGTGGTTTTTTTGGGGGGGTGGGGGGTTGAGTGAGCATCAGTCCTTCAAATAAGGTGAAGTAAGTCACACAGGAACAAAAAACACACATGTATTAGTCTTTTTTTATTAAAGTATCAAAACATAAAACTTAATAGAAAACAAATTGCTTCTACTGCATTATTAAATGTTCAGAATAAAACAGATACATAAATCCATGCAGTTCTTTCATTCAACAATTCTCCCACTTGGCTTGGAAGCCAGCATCCAACCTGGCCTGGAAGGAGTTTGCCTGTGCCCTGAAGAACAGGAAGGAGCTCAGCTACTGCTGCTAGCTGCCACTGCAGACAGGCGACGTTTAGGCAGCTGAACTCCTTCCTGCCACAGTGCTGTCAGAGTGCCAGAGTCCCCCAGAAGTCCAGCAATGCAACTCTCAAGCAATGCAAACAGATATATAGGATGTATACTATTGATATAATCTTGAGGTATGTGCACTGCACACTTACCCACATACGCAACCACACACACACAACCACACGAGGAAGCAGCCACAGCTGAACCAATATTATCTTTGAAAAAGTAGCAGTGCCGTTGTAAACATTTGGCATGCTCGCTAAAGTCATTTGTCTTTCAACCGAAGCAGCAGCAGCAGCAGCAGCAGCAGCAGCAAGACGCCTGCGTCATTTTAAATAGGCTGTAGAACCGCAATATTAAAACACCTCTCAAAAGGGAAAACAAAGACTCTATGTATGAGAACATCATACATGCAACAGAGTCCATTCTTTTATTATCATTTTCTGAATTGCTTTTGGAAACACGTTAAATACATGCAGGGACCGTCTCTGGCTAATGTTGGCAGCTCCTCATACTAGCCTAGGGTGTAGATCCCAAGAAGCCCTTCCATGTACGAGAAGTGCATTTGTTCATGGAAGGTCTAGTTGCTACAGAAGGGATACGGAACCTGTGTCTCCCTAGAGATTAATTCACAGCATCCCTGACCATTGGCTGAACTGGCCAGGGAGCTGGTAGGAATTGTGACAACATCTGGAGGGCCACAGGTTCCCCATCCCAGCACTAGAGCATACCATGAGAAAAGCAAAACCAGATCCAAATATGCTCTTTTGCCAGGGAGCTGGTAGGAATTGTGACAACATCTGGAGGGCCACAGGTTCCCCATCCCAGCACTAGAGCATACCATGAGAAAAGCAAAACCAGATCCAAATATGCTCTTTTGCTTGCAGAGCGGGAAAACAGCCTGACTGTTAAAGGGTGCATTCACATTGCTACCTAAGACTGTAGTGATGTCTTTCCAGCACTCTCCCCACGACCACCCTACCCCCAGCTGTTCACATCAGCACGGCTTCATTGTTTCTGTTTGTGTACATGCCAGAGGTTGATTGTGGTGGGGGTGCCTTTACCCCATGCAAAGGTGTTCCCCCTTTGGCCAGAGACAAATTCGGAAAGCCTTAAGGACTCCACTTGGTGTGAAGCTGGTTTGAGCAACAATGCATCAGACGGCAGCATTTCACAAAGAAGTGCAGGGGACATGTGCATTTGGGATAATGCTGTGTGAACATGGATTAAAAACCCAGCACTAAGCACACACAGGAAATGGGAGTGTGAACGCAGCCATAGTTTTCTTCGTTCTTTGGATCTGGCCTGCAACATCCCACAATCAACAGCACCGTATCACTTTTAGGGAGCGACAACATTACATACTGAAGACGACCGAGTACTGTCTAGAATTCATAATTACAGGAACCCAATCAATTCCCCCCCCCCAATAAGGTTCTTGATAGCAGAATTGCACATAGTTAACATAGTAAATAAACTCTCTTCCCCCCTCCCTCCCTCTTCCCACGCATCCCTCCCCAACCCAGTACATTGCACGGTCAACGCAGAGGCCTTGGGGGGGGGGGTCCTGCTGTCCAACATGACTTGAGGAACAGCTCACAAACAGCAAAGTGAATTTACTCTGCAGGAAGAAAAATCACACTCTGATGAGACAGAATTTGGCCCGCTTCCTTCCATTTTTTGTTACATGAAATATACATTTGAAACACAGCATTGGACATTATAATATATCCAAATTGCTGAAAGTGTATTAAGTACTTCTGTTGCAGAATGTAAAAAACAGAGAGATAAAACAGGCAGCAGGCTCAAGTATACCAGTCACAGATTGACAGTAAAAACCTATGCATGTCTCTACTTGGAAGTCCCATTGCATTCAATGAGCCTTCCTCCCAGCTAAGTGTGTACTATATAGGATTATAGCCTTTGAAAACTATTGTTCTGAGGTACGATGTTTATGTGGGTGTGTTTTAACACTGGACAATGTGGATGAAGGATTTTATCCTGCAAACGCCTTTGTCTACTGCATTGATACATAATTAAATTTAGATCCCAGCAGACTAAAACTAGAAATAATACTTCATAACAGAACTGCAAAGTGTTTGGGCAAAAATAAGGATTTCTCACCCAAATCTGCATACAGAAATCTGATTTGCAAAATTAAAATTCCTATTCTTGTGACTCAGGTTCCTAAATTCAGTGTTTGAATACTGAGTGGGGTTTGTCTCAGAGAGTGAAGTGAGCTCTTTTTTTTCTTTTTCTTTTTTTTGGTAAGGTGTTTGTTATTATAGTAAAAAGTTAGAGTTTAACTAAAGCATCTACCTCACAATCTGTGCACTACTTAGGCATATCAGTGATAAATAAAAGGTGATTGAGGAGTCCAGAGATCCTCACAGAAGGAGGGGTGAGAAATGCCAACAGGTGACAAATGGCTTATTGAATAGGAAGGGGCACCTGAAATTAACTCCCCCAGCTACCAAAACGATCTGCACTGTTGGAGTTAATAACATGAGTACAGGGTGCTTGAGCATTGCTCACACTAGACTTGGGGTTTCTACCCCAGATACCCAGAGTACCATTCTGTGTAAATGGTATGACAACCAGATGAGTAATCTATGCAAAAAGCCTTACAGGGAACAAAGGATGGACCACAACTCAAGTTGCAGAGCCATGCTTTGAATGTATGCGAGTCCCACACCCAACTTATCCTTAAACAAGGATGACAAGTAGCAGAGTCTTGGGTCTTTGAAGAGGCTCTACCAGTCAGAAGAGATGGCATCAGACAAGATGAATCAAAGCTATGAAACTCTGTAGAGCAGCTTTGTCTGTTCCAACACCGGATTGCTCTGCTTGAGAACTTTAATGATCATACTTATATAGGTGCAAGTTCTTATCCATGCAAGGTGCTGTGGGGTTGAGAGACAGCAATGGGTTCAAGGTCACCCAGTAAGCTTCAGGTATCAGTGTGGACCAACACTCTAACCAAAAGCTGTCTGCACGACGACAGGGGAAGCTGCACCTCCAAGCCTGCTATTCAGCTGTTGACAGACCTACTTGGCTACTTTTAAGTCTCTTTTCCTAGCACAGCTGTAATTGTCATGGGACAATTTTGCAAGTACATGCAGTTAATGCACCCACAATCATTCCTTTGTGCAACTTGAGAACCACCAGAATTTCTTGCTCTGCAAAAAAAAAAGGTGGTGCCCAGGGAAGATTTGCAAGTTCTGGATTCATGAGGTGGCGGCCCACAAATCAAGAGAGGAGGATTAATTTAACATCTATGTCGATCGTGTCACTGTTTTGTATGTTATGAAGTCCTTCCGAATACTGTACATGATGTGACTCATAAAGCGGATTCTCAAAGGGGAATTCCCCTTTCTTCAAACGAGCCAAGGGAAGGGGTAATGTTCCAGCTTGATACATTCAGACTTTTTTCTATCTTTTTTACAGAAGCTGATGCCTGTCATATCACCCACAAATCACCCCCAATGTGAGTCATCAAAAAACCCACAGAAAGGCTTCCGTGAAAACAACAATACAAAGAGAGCGTAAAGCTCGGTTTAAAAAACATTGCACTAGGATATAGAAACACAGTAATTCCCGTTATATCGCAATGCCTTTCGGAATTGAAAGCAGCATTCTGGAACTTGCCAACCTCTTTCTTTTGAAAGTACAAAGCAAAAGAAACAAACGAAATGAACAGCCCACGCTATCTAACATTTCCTACCCCAATCGAGGACAGATGGGGAGGGTCCATTCAGCTTGGCTGTCCATAAGATGCGCATTACGGCGAGTCCTAGTGTTCTACTCAAGTGCAAGTACCACATGCCATCAGGGGTTTAGCAAGTCTGTAGCTGTACGGCTTCTAGGAACAGCAAGTATGGCAGATACTAAAACCTGAATCACAGCTAAGCTAGCGCAAGCCTTTTCTTCTTAGCAATGTCATCTCCTCTGCCTTGTCTCGACTAATGGGAGACCACAAATACCAAGATACCTTCTCTTATGGCTTCTGGCTTGGGGTGATGTGCTGGGGTGTAATTTTTTGGTGTCAGAGGCATGCCCTAGGGGCACCTAGCATTGTCACTTAGCCTTGCAAGGTTCCTTCTTTTATCTGCTGAATGAAGAGGTTCCTTTCGTCCTCCGGCGTCCTCCCGTTCTGGGCCCGGACGATGCAGGTGGGCCTGTGCAGGTTAAGCATGTAGATCAAATGCTGCTTCTCGTTCTTCAGCTCTTCAATCTGAGCCTTCAGTTCTGCATTGATGGTTTCCAGCTTCTCCGATTCCTAGGCACAGGAAAAGAGGGTAAATATAAAAGCGGAAGTTCTGAACCATTCTTCTGTTAAACACACAAACGCACACCTCCTCTTTCGCATCTTCTGTGCCCAGATAGCATCCGACTTACCTTCTGCAGACATTCCGTCTTCTCCTTCTTTTTGTTTCGACACTTGGCTGCTGCAATCTTGTTCCTTTCCCTCCGTCGCCTTTTCCTTTCATCTTCAGGCGCACACTAGAGCAAGATTCAGAGAGAGAGGTAAATTGGTTGACTTTGGGCACATCCAGATGATGTATCAATATTGCAAGTGGGCCAAGTTTATACTTAATTAGTTATCAGCATCTCCCCCAAGTGTACCACGGAGCTATGACTCCTTCCCAAGAGCACATGATTCAGAAGTACATGCAGTGCACACCAAGGCTCCAGCTTGGCACTAACGCAGTTGCAGCCTTTCACAAAGCCACTTTCATTCAAATACACACAGATCATTGTCTGTGATGGGGTGGGGAGGTATTAGTGCAGACTCCTGCCTTATGTATAATACAGTTTTCCTATTGGAAAGTTCATTGAACAATTATCTACTGGTTTTAGTTCCTCCCCACCCCCCTACTTTCTGTTTTGTTCTTGTTTAAATAGAACGCCATTACTGAATGTGAAAGCAAAACAAGCAATTAAAAGAAGGAGCACCTCTGCTTTCAAAACAGACATTTCCCCAGGTCTGTCCGAAACCATGACTGTGTCCAACGTGGAGGACATCCTGTGCGACAGACACTTGTTCTGGATGGCAAATCTCAATTCTTCTTTCACCAGCGGAGTTAGATTTGTGAAGTCTTCAAAACCCAGGGACATCGAAGGAGACAGGCACGGGACAATGGCAGTGGCGCTGACTTCCGAAGCAGACACCTGGCCAGGGTGTTGGAGCATCATTTTGCTGAAAAAGAAGAACAAGAATGACTCTTTCTGAATTTATCAGGACTCTCTCTCTCCTCTGTGTGTGTGTGTGTTTGTTTGTCAGATGATCGTTTAACTCTCAACTAAGACCTGATTTAGAAAATATGACTTTTGGATGTGGAATAATTCCTCAAACTCTGGGCCGTGACCTGTAATTATATCTTGTTAGAATGGTTGCCCATGAATTGTACCCAAGTAAGTCCTACTCAGAGTAGGTCTGTTGAAATCAATGGGCTTAAGTCAGTCATGCCCATGTGATCATTTCAATAGATCTGCTCTAGGTACAACTTAGTTGGATATATATATATATCTTAGTTCAATATACAGTACACGTTTATTTAATCCTGACATTTCTATCTTGCCCTTCCTGCAAGGAGCTCCAGGAAGCATACATGGCTCCCCCTCCCTGTCTTAACCTCACAACAAGCCTGTGAAGGAGACTAGGCTGAGAGAAGGTAAGTGGTCCAATGTCACCCAGTAAGCTTCATGACCACAGTGGGTGGCGCTGTGGTCTAAACCACAGAGCCTTGGGCTTGCCGATCAGAAGGTCAGTGGTTCGAATCCCTGCAACGGGGTGAGCTCCCATTGCTCAGTCTCAGCTCCTGCCCTCCTAGCAGTTTGAAAGCACGTCAAAGTGCAAGTAGATAAATAGGTACCACTCTGGCGGGAAAGTAAACAGCGTTTCTGTGCGCTGTTCTGGTTCACCAGAAGCGGCTTAGTCATGCTGGCCACATGACCCGGAAGCTGTACGCCGGCTCCCTCGGCCAATAAAGCGAGATGAGCGCTGCAACCCCAGAGTCAGCCATGACTGGACCTAATGGTCAGGGGTCCCTTTACCTTTACCTTTAAGCTTCATGACTGAGTGGGGCTTTGAACCCTGGTCTCCCAGGCCCTAGGAGACTCTAACCAGTACACCACATTGGTGCTCTCTTTCCATACACACACTCTCAAACACATTACACAAAGCACCCTTGATAAACAACTTAAATGCAACTATAAACCGACATTATAACTCAATAGGAAGCAATGCAAAACTAACATTGCCAGGTTTTTTGTACCATTTGGTATAATACTGCCACATACTGGCAGCTGGGTGAGCAACTTCTAACCAAACAGGAAATGTGAGAGGCAATATATAAGTTATATAAGTTACATGGGATTTTGTGCAATAATTGCACCACAAGTTGAACTGGGTCACTTGTGCTGATTAATTAATCTCCCAGTCTTATGTTTAGACTGGCAGGGATTCGCCCAGTGTTTGTGCAGTTTAGGTGTGTCAGATACACTAAATCAGTGCACCCAGTGCTCAAGAAATATCTCGCCTACAATGTGGCTCATTTGCACATGCAGCTGCACATATATCCAGCCATAGGAATCTATCACAGGAGTCATCCTGAGAAGCTCCATTTTATTAGAGGAAGCAATAAAACGCTGCAAAATATTATTACCAGCAAAATCTATTACAATTAGCTTCATAATACATAAGCCAATTACTGCCTCTGAGCATTTGTGTACATAAATGAAGCCATCATGCTGTCAAACTAGATTTGATCTATGCAGTATCCATTGTAATTATAGCTTCAGGGAATAGTTGGAGTTCATTATGATCTCCCACGCCAGTGGAAGTTGCACCCTTTTGCACTGGCAGTAGATAATAATAATAATAATAATAATAATAAATTTTATTTATATCCCGCCCTCCCCAGCCAAAGCCAGGCTCAGGGCGGCTAACAACAAACAAATAATCAAACAATCAGATAATCCAACATTCTAAAACATTTCATTATAAAAATTAATTAAAATCAAATTAATGGCAACCGTTAAGCAAAGTTCTGTGCAGGTTGCCAGAGGTGGGAGTCAGGCTGGGCCCTGACCAAAGGCCTGGTGGAACAACTCTGTCTTGCAGGCCTTGCGGAAAGATGTCAGGTCCCGCAGGGCCCTAGTCTCTTGTGACAGAGCGTTCCACCAGATTGGAGCCGCGGCCGAGAAAGCCCTGGCTCTAGTTGAGGCCAGCCTAACCTCTCTGAGGCCTGGGACCTTCAGGATGTTTTTATTTGCAGACCGTAGGTTCCTCTGCGGGGCATACCAGGAGAGGCGGTCCCGTAGGTACGAGGGTCCTAGGCCGTATAGGGCTTTAAAGGTTAAAACCAGCACCTTAAACCTGATCCTGTACTCCACCGGGAGCCAGTGCAGCTGGTATAGTACCGGATGAATGTGATCTCGCAGCGAAGACCCCATAAGGAGTCTCGCCGCGGCATTCTGCACCCGCTGGAGTTTCTGGGTCAGTCTCAAGGGCAGCCCCACGTAGAGCGAGTTACAATAATCCAGTCTGGAGGTGACCGTCGCGTGGATCACAGTGGCTAGGTCAGGGCGAGAGAGATAAGGGGCCAACTGCTTAGCTTGGCGGAGATGAAAAATGCCGCCTTTGTTATAGCTGTAATCTGCGCCTCCATAGAGAGGGAGGTATCGAAGATTACACCCAAACTCTTAACGGACGGTGCTGGCACTAATTGCACCCCGCAAGAGATGGGAGTTGCCCCCAATCCCATATCGTCCCGTCCCAGCCAGAGGACCTCTGTCTTCGAAGGATTTAACTTCAACCGGCTTCCGCGTAACCATCCAGCCACAGCTTCCAAACATCTGGTCAGTGTGTCTGGGGCCGAGTCAGGATGGCCATCCATCAACAGATACGAGTTGGGTGTCATCGGCATACTGATGGCAACCCAGCCCAAAACTCCGGACAAGCTGGGCGAGGCGCATAAAGATGTTAAAAAGCATCGGGGGAGTATCGCACCCTGAGGCACTCCACACACCAAGGAGTGGCGGGATGACAATTCCCCCCCAAGCGCCACCCTCTGTCCCCGACCGGAGAGAAACGAGCGCAGCCATTGAAGGACTGTGCCCTGGATCCCCACGTCGGCAAGGCGGTGGTCCAGGAGTTCGTGATCAACCATGTCGAAGGCTGCTGACAGGTCTAGAAGAATCAGCAGCCCCGACCCGCCTCGATCCAGCTGCCTGCGGAGATCATCTGTTAGGGCGACCAGAGCCGTCTCGGTCCCATGACCAGCGCGGAAGCCAGACTGGAATGGATCCAGAGCCGATGTTTCATCCAGAAACCCACCATAAGTGTGCTTAAGGAAAAAAATAAGATTTGAAGGCACAGCCTCAAGCGGCGAAAGAGGACATACTGCCACTGCTGCTACCTACAAACACATTTCTTCATCCTGCACCCCAACAAGGCAGGAATATTGTCACAGTTCAATGACATGTTCCAATCAGGCAAGAGCACTCGAGGAGAGTGCAGCGCAGGGCTGGTCTGGGGAGAAGCTCAAGGGCCAGACAGACTGCTCTGAAGCATCGCATTCAGACCTCAGGCCACAGGTTCTCCAGACCTGATACTGATAGTTAAGTTTGTTGGTCCCGCACATGTTTCCCACAGGCATCTGGTTGGCCACTGTGAGAACAGGATTCTGGACAAGATGGGCCAGGAGGCTCTTCTTACATTTTGCTACATGTATGTATGCATGCATTTCAGCCATCCATGTAAGGGTTTTATTTTTATTTCAACACAGAAGTAAGGCTTTTATGATGTGCAAAGTGAATCCCAGGCATACCCCCTCCAAAAAAGCAACAGCAGTAGAAAACCAAAAGTTTCTTGACCTCCTGATTATGAGAGCGAAGATTTCCTGGAATTGTTTGTTATTTCCATAGACCTTGAGAAACTTATGTAATTCTGCAGAAATCCCCCTGGCCATGGTGAGTCACACCTCAAAAATGCTGATCTCCTTCAGTCCTCCATAGAGGTAGAAGATAACGCCAATCAAACCAAGACAGCAAAAGGGCCTTCAGTTTCCAGGTTATCCTCTTGTTTCCAGCTCAGAAGACGGTAATGAAAAGTCGATCAAAGCAGTAAATTAACAAAAGTGGTGTGCCTTAACTGACGTCTTTAATTGATTATAGAGATTGCTTAATTCTTCACAGATTAATCTACCCATTTCCCAGTCATATCTTCATAAGCCAGGTCTATGAACTTGTTTTCCAAAAACAAAAACCAGAATGTCAAGATTTCTTTTTACAATGCCAGTGTTCTGGGTAATTATATGCAGAGTGGGGGGTACAGAGAGTCCCCATTTATAGGCTATAAATTATAGCTATGTTTAATAGGCACTTCATGCCAATTCTTGGAGCCCCATTCATTATGTTGGCACTACTGTTGGCATCAACACAAAATTCTGAGGATTTGGGGAATGGCCAAGGTTTCGTTACACCAGTCCCCTGGCAGAGAAACAGCTGAGAATGCTGGCAGTAACGTGGGACTCCGGAGAGAATTGCTACAGCTTTCCAAAAACCATACTGCTATTAATGTACATTCTCAGCTGTGTTTCAGACAGAATCCTGCAAAGAGGTCTAGGCTGACGGACTCGTCCAAAGATAACGCAACGAGTTCCATACCTGAGAAAGCAGGAACCAGAATCTGGGTTTCGCACATCCAAGCACAATTCCCTCCCATCCCAATGTCTCTCTACTAAATATTATTTGCTGCTGTAGTTTCTGTTTGATGAGCCGTCACGTACAGTCCATCGAACACAGTAGTGCCTGGTGCCCATGTTGACCGATAGGGCAGAAGGCAAGGAGAAAAACAGTAGGGGGAGCCAGGTTACAACAACAGGCAGAGCCAACTAATTCCATTGTCACCATCCTCTTCCTTGCTGAATTTTGCAAGAGCAATACTAAGACTTAAGGAGTAGGAAGCTGACAGGTGCCGTACATAGGAAGTCAGGTAAGTGGGGTTTGCCTCCACCGATGTAACTATGTGGGTCCCAAGCTCAAGGAATGGAGGATGCCTTGTTTGTTAAAGTCACTTGAACACAAAGAACACCTCACATCCAGCAACTGGGCCTCTCTTAAGAGCTGATGCAAGACGATTGCAAGGTCTTTATGTATTCATCTTGTGATCATTCAGTGACACACAGAGGCAGACTGAAACATTCTACAGCCAGATGGAGCCAAATAAAAACATTTCACAGCCCATGTATGCAGTACTGAGCACTGCATTTCCAAATGATTAAAAAGCCAAGATCTGATGGCCTCTCCCCATGAGGTGTTCACATATCAAAGGCTCCCCATTTCTTTGTCAACAATTCTGCCTTTTAAACAGGGTGACAGCTAAGCGCAAAACAAAATCAGCGCTATCACACAAATGTCAGGAGCTGCCTTATATCAAAGAAGAATAAGAACTGTAGAGTTGGAAGGGACACTATGGGTCACCTAGCCCCCCCCCCCCGAAATGCATATATTTAGCATTTAAATAATGAGTGTTTTATCCTGAATTTCAAAAGACAAGTCATTGGTCCATTTAGTTCAGTATTATCTACTCTTCCTCGACAAGTGGAGGTCTTTGCTACCCCCACCCCAAGACCTACAACCAGAGATATTTTCTTTTAATCTGAGGGCACTTCCACATAGCAGTTTATTGTAGATGAGATCCTGCACACAAGCTTTGTGCAACAGCCACATAACGTCCTACTCATACAAAATGTCAGTGTATGTTCTTTTCTCAATTAATCCAGATTTTCCTTTCCTTCAGAAAATACGATGAGTTTTTAAAAAAACCACACAGAAACAGTAAATGTAGTTTAAAATAGGGCTGCTGGATATAGGACGGCATTTTGACGAGAATGCCATCACGTGGACTCTGTGGAAAATTTGTGTGCATTAGCAGCATCAAGTCTGCAATAAAGGCTACATGCACAGCATTCACTTAATGTACAATAATTATAGCCCATTGCCCACCCCAAGAATTATGGGAAGTGTAGTTTTCCCCCACACTTTCCAGCACCCAGAACAAACTACCATTCCCAGAATTCTTTGTGGGTGCTTTAAATTGCTAGCCTGGGCTCCTTCAGGAAAGTGAAATACAGATTCAATAAATACAATTTAAGTATATGATGTGTACACAATCCAAGCTACCCAGAGATACTAGAGATTGACTCTGAGACCTTTAACATATGAGGGATCTGCTCTACTGTATCACTGAGCAAAGGCCACCTGCCAGGGCCGGCCCACCCATGAGGCAAGGTGAGGCAACTGCCTCAGGCAGCAGGATCCACAAGGGCAGCAGATCCTGAGGTAGATCTTTATTCCCCGTCTTGTTCCTGAGGTAGATCTTCACTCACTCCTTCTTCCCTGAGAAGGAGGGGGTGCCATTTTGTAATTCGCCTCAGGGGCCAAAATGTCTTGGAGCAGGCCCTGCCACCCACACCCTATATTTCATGTGGTTCTTCTCTGCATGTTGATCCTTGCTGTGCAACCCTCCGCTGTTCATAGCTTTATTCTAAGCAGCAGGAGAGATTCCAAAAGCTTCCGAGTTCTTTCAACCTGTGCCAATTTGCCCACGCATTGTATAAAGGAAGGGTATTCCTGCCTTCAGAGGCCCGCCCACTTAAAAAAATGATTGCTGCACACACACAGGCATTCGTAGGCAAAATAAACACAAGCTATTGCACACCTCCCTGCTTTCTCAGGATTTGTGTTTTAGAACTACCATCAGATAATCCAAGGCTATGGGGCACCCTCTACCTTTAAGGCACATTCAAAACACATTCTTCCCTCAGAGAATTCTGGGCACTGTAATTTACCCAGCACAGTTACAATTACCAGCAACCCTTAACAAACTACATTGCCCAGAGTTCTTTGAGGCAGTGTGTACGCAGCCTTATATATTAATAGCAGACTCCTTCTTCAAGTGTGAAATCTTATAGAAACCAAAATGGCACCATCCTCTCACATGGAGGAGGTAGCAGTAGCCTGAGGGGAACCCCAAGATTTGCGACAGAAGCACACACATTTTTTTTAGGAAGGGGGGGAGGCAAACAGCCCAATGAGGACTGGGCATGCTCAGTGGCTACAGAATGTTTGCTGGCTGTTGGAGTTGAGGTGGCAGGGAATGGAATAGAGTATCCTTAAGAAGGACAAGTCTGGATGGAAAACTGAATAGGACCGTTCTGTACAGCCAGGTTTTGTTGCAATTCTCTGTTGTGTCATATTTTCCTGTTCATAGCCAGATTTCTGATTCTAATCCCTGAAACCATTTACTCTTAAAGGCTTCTGCTGAAACAAGTGACACATCAAAGAGGGAAGATCCACACCGTACATTTAAAGTACATTTACCATGCCTAGTATCCCCACAAAGAATCCTGGGAGCTGTAGTTTGTTAAGGGTGTGGTAAGTATGGCTCTGTGAGAAGGAAACTACATTTCCCAGTATTCTTTGGGTGAAGTTGTGTCCTTTAAATGTGCACTGAATATCTGTTAGAAGTATGGTGTGGGTCTTTAAAAAACTGTGTCACTTTCAGCTAACTTGGTTGACATTAAAAGATTCGCCCTCACATTAAAAATAGAACAAGGCACACTGACCTGATGCTTCACATGCCTTTCATTTCAGATATTCACAGAAACCAAAAGTCTTCATTTTATTTTTTGACTGATACATTTGCTTCCCCACACACCCTGAATATTTTCCCCATCTTGCTGATGCAGTAACCTGTTAACCATAGAAGTTAATCTCCCACAGCTTCAAAAGCAATTAAAGTCCACAAGCACCCTGAACTGAACTTGACCTTTTAAGATTTTTGGCATTGCAGTTTGGCCACATATATCTGCTGCTTTCGAAATGGCCAGCTGTTAATATGATGAAGAAAATCAATAAGGCACCAGAAACCGCTTGCAGTCACCACTTTTTGTGTGTGGTGTCCTCACAAAGCCCCAGCTTAGATGGCAAGTTGGACAGAAGTATTTGCCGTTTTTGCTCATCATCAACCTTATTCGATGCAAAAAGTGTTTCAGAAATTCACATTGATACTCAGCACTCATAATCCCTTTGTGTGGTTTCTCAGCCATCATCAACATTTCACTTTTCAGTTGTTTTGGATCAGTGGTTCCCTAACTTTTCCCACAAAGGACTGACTGAAAACTTCTGGGGGTCTTGGTGGACCACTTAATGATTTTTCTCTCTCTATCTCTGGTAGCATTTGTAATGTGCTGTGGTAAACGCTGGACAGTTTTAAATTGTATTTTTATTGCTTCCATTATTTCTTATTATTAAATTTGTATACCACACTATACCCACAGGTCTCCTACACATTATATTGTATTGCAATTTGAGTTTCGCAGAATGAAAGCCATAGAAAATCAGTTAAAAATCAAGATGAATGTTTAATAGGATGTACTTTAGCCACTAATCCACAGACACACCACGGACCACCAGAATGAAGCTTATGGGCCACTGGTGGTCCACAGACTGCAGTTTGGAAGCCTTTGCCTTGAACTACAACTCTTAGCAGCCCTAGTTGAGCAAGCTGGGGCTGGTGGGAATAGTAGTTCCAAATAGCTCAAGGGGACCAGGCTAGCAAAGGCTGCCCTATATCCTTATCACAGATAAACTCGTAAATGTTTTGAATAATCCTAGCTGCATGCTTATTTAAGAGTAGCCCACTTGAATCCAATGGGACTTGCTTCTGAGTAAAAGTGCTTAGGAGGCTATAGCACAGCGAATTTATGCTGTGGGAAATAAAAGTAAGCCTAGAAACCTAGGTACACTTAACTAGGAAATACACACTTATGAGGGAGTAAGTCACATTGAACGCAGTGGAGTTCTGTTGCACTTCGAAGGGTGCACCTGTGCAAGCTTTCTTCTGAGTAAGTTAAGCTGAACTCAGTGGGACTTTCTCCATTTATTTGTTCATTAAATAATTTCTGTATTGCCGTATTGGGGCAGTGTACATGAAAACATAAAGCACTATTTAAAGAATAAAAATTCAGAAATTCCTTAAGGTGACTGGCTAATCAAAAATAAAAATTTAGCAGCTGCAAAGGCTCTTGTTGGCACACAAAAAAAGTCTTCAAGAGATGCATGAAAGTCAAAAGTGAGGGTGGGTGCCTGTCAAATCTCTACCAAGAGAGTATTCCACAGCACAAGACCAGCAAAGCTAAATGCCCGACTTCTAGCTGAGGCTGGTCAATCCTCTAACACCGGGGGCTTCCAAATTAAGCAGAAGTAGGACTGGGCTTCATGGTGCCAATGCTACAGACCTCCTTTGGGAGTAAACTCCATATAACTTGCTGAGACTTACTTCCAAGTAAACATGCACAGGCTGCAGCAAGTCCTGCATTCACCCAGCTTCATGCAAATAAACCACGAAAATGTTAACGTTCTGCCTCTATCTGCATGAAGATTACTTCATCTGGAACCAGCCATATTCATCTACACTTAAAGGAAAGGTAGCCGTATTGGCTTATAAGGGAAAAAAATCTGTATTAGGACCATTTATTACATTACGCCAATCAAAAATGTCACAAAACACTGTGGAAACTTTTAAGTTCTCCAGAACTCCTCATCAGGCTAGATGGCAGAACCATCCCTGCTTTGCTTAATCTAGCCCAGTGAAGAGTTCTGGAGAACTCAAAAGCTTGCACATTATTTTGTGGCATTTTGTTTGGCCGAATAAAGATAGTTCCCTCCTATGGATTCTGGAATTAGCAGTTCCACTAAACAAACGTTTAACACTCCAAAGTCCCAAACATACTGAAGTTTTGAAACAGTCCTATCGATCCCTGCAAGCCTGATCTGCATAAAACCGCCTGCATTCCTATTTTTACAGGTTCCTCTGATAACTCAACGCCGGCGAGTAAAAAACAAATCTGACAGATCGAGCAGGAAGCATCCTATACAAAGCAGCGGAGCGCTCTCGCTACCACGCCGTGCGCCACCGACTGGCGGCTGGAGGCATTGCCACATCGTAAAAAAAGTTAAGCTTTCGAATCTTTTCCGCCAACTCTCGCCATCCCACAACTTACCGTAAGTGATCATCATTTGATTATTATCACTTATAAGTTGCTGTTTTTCTCCCTAAAGTGTTATGGGAAATTAAAAAGCTGGCGATGACCTGGAAAAACCGCCGCAAAAACCTCTCCACGCGTAGTTTTTACGCAGTTGGAAATATACGATCTTGGGATTAAACAGAACTGCCCCCCCCTTCCCTTGCCGTTTCTTTCCGTCAAAAGAAACAAACAGCAGCAGCATCAATGAAAACCACTGTGTGGTCGCCCAAACTTTTAAGATTGGAGCGCCCGAGGAGGAAACAGACAAGTTTCTGTTGCTTACGCGAAAGAGAGCGCTCGAGAGAGATCGGTCAAACACTTTGTTCGGATGAATGAACTTTTACTTTCAGTTAGCCTCACTTTTAAAAAGAAAGAAAAAGAAACGTGAACGATTTCACTTCTGACTCCCTCACCTCACTAACTCCACGGAAGAAGAAGAAATCTCACCTACTCAACACTCGATTTGATTGAAAAAGTTCCGAGACCTGAAACGGGACGGATACGCACGTACCGAAAGACGCGCGTTCCCCTCGAGCCTATTTCCCTACCACAGACCAACCCCCTCCCAAAAAAACCCCCACAGTGAAGACAACACCTGAGTGAGCGGGTGAGAGATCCCAGATCTCCTTGTCCCGGTTTCTCTCCGCGATTGCCTTCCCCTTCCTCCGGTGTCTCGCTCCCTTACCTGTTCCTCACCTTTCCTCCTTCGAGTCGTCTTTTCCTTCCCAGTTTCGAAGAGTCGGAGGGTGGAAGAGAAGAGAGGGAAGACTCTCAGGTGAGAGTTTAAGGAATAAAATAAAAATCTCGGGCGGGGTGCATGGAGTGGGGTTGTCCTTCGAGGCGGGACGGGTGGCGCTGGACAGCAGGAGCGGTAGTAGTAGTAGTGGCAGCCGCGGCTCCTTCGCTCCAAGCGCCTCTCCGCGTCTCTGGCTCCCCGCGAGGTTGCATCACCCCCTTTATATAGCCCGGCGGGCAGCGCTGGTATTTACTCTGGCCGCCGCTCGCGCGCTGATGTCATGCTATTAATAGATTCTTCAGCAAGATCTGGAGGAGGCAGGGGGCGGGGCCCAGGCTGGCGAGGGGGCGGGGCTCCCCGGTGATGCAAGGACTCCCCCCCACACACACACCAGGAGGGAGGAGGAGGCGGGGCGCGGGGCGACGCTTTCCCGGGCGCGTTCCTTAAGAGGCAGGAGGAGCGCGCGCCTTGCCCGGGCGGCGAGCCAGGTGGGAACACCCTTCGCGGCGGCATGATCCCTCCATGAGCCAATGGTGCCCAAGCCAGCGCATGACTCCAGATCGCTGGCATCCCGCAGCAAAGCGGGGCCGGGCAAAGGAGAGGCGATTAGGAAGGAGGGACAGGAGGGTGCGATGGGGGGGCGTGTTTTTTTGTTTTCCCCACTTTCCTGTTTAGGGAAGTTTTTAAAATTTAACGCTGTACTGTTTTTAACACTTGATTGGGAGCCGCCCAGAGTGGCTGGGGAAACTCAGCCAGATGGGCGGGGTATAAATAATAAATTATTATTATTATCATCATTATTATTATTCCCTTCTCTTTCTAATGAGGATCTGATTGGAACTTTGCGGATGGTGCCTTGCCATTTTGTGTAGCTAAAGGAGTTAAAGGACGGGGGGGGATCTGTCCCCTCCTTTGAGATTTGTGTCTAGACTGTGTGTGGTTTTTTTGTGTGGGATCGGGTGTATCCGCGCCTACCTCGCGAGATCCGCCGACAACGTCCCCAACACCCCATTTCTTTGATTTTTCGGTTTTCTTTCTTTAATGAACAGCCGCGTGTGTCCCGTCGCGTCCCAATCCCCCGATTTCGCGCCCGCGCAATATATCTCTCGGGAGAGCGTGAAAACCTTAAATCCAGAATCCCCAGGGATCGTTGAAAACTTTTGGGCGACCCGGCCACTCTCAAAAAAGAGCGTTCCTCTCCCTCTCTCAAATGGACCGAAACCGCACGAGAAAAGACAGCCGAGAAATTGGGGTCAGTGGGATAACTGAATCGAACATACCACATATACGTAAATCCCGTCTGCCCGCTTTACGGCAAAAAAAAGACTCTAAAGTCATCGAAGAACATCTCTCCTTCCCCGCCGCCCCCGCACACACACTATTGCCGCCCTAAATTTTCTACTAGAGTTGTTTGTGCTTATCTTAGCATATTGTAGACATCCGTCATTCCCCCTCATTTTATTTTATTTTTTAAATGGTAATGTTCTGATCCTATCTTATTTGCGATTCCACTTTGGAAGGTTCTGTCGCGATCAACTGGATTTCTGTTCCGAATCCAAATAAACTTGCCTTTGGGGAATGCGGTGAAGGATAATTCACGCAGCCTGATCCTATCATTCGCGCCGAAGAAGTTCTAAGCGTGTGTGCTCAGGATTCATTGGAATCCTAGGATCCCGAGGGTTATCTATTCCAACAACCTGCAGTGCAGGAAGGTCAATTATTTTGCAAAGGGGAAACCATTTTTCCACGCTTGTGATGGGAGAAGAATAATAAAATAAAAGTTCCTCCTCGAACTCCGCTCCTCTGGGACTGTTTCAAATGACGCTTTGCTATTCTTTGAGCTGGGGGGGGGTGGTCTCTCGACTCGGGGCAGATTCGTCTGAATGCAGGCGATGTGGTGATCCCCCCCCCCATCGCAAATAGCTCCCCACCCGAATTTCAAGGCAAAGGGCGATGCAATCGAGGGCGAAGGAAGAAGGGCTGCTTTTGCATCCTCCTTCCGTCAAGGTTTCTTGCGTGTCCCCCACGCTTCCCCGTGCATAAGGAGAATAAAAAGGATGTAGACTGCCGGGAGGCGCCTGCTTTGACGCATTTCCGTCAGGGTGCAAAAGAAAAAAGGCGCGCGCACGTGCAGACGTCTAACGTGACTTGTGCCAAATGAAATAAACCCACGATGTCCACTCCGGAAAGGACTGTGGGCGCTGCGTGGCTGAGTATTGCGAGGCAGACATGCGCCAGTCTCTAGGCACTGACTGGCAAGCCTGATCTGTTGACTTCAGCGCAACTTCCGAGTAAGCCTGCTTAGGATCTCTCGAAACAGAAGATGATGGCTATTTTCTACTTATGAGAGGTTGGAAAACTCATGTTAGACGGAGCACACATATATTCCCAACTTTAGGAGCATAACACTCTGCCCCTTAAAACTTAATGTAAAATGCTTCAAGCAGATGAAATCAGTGACACTTAAACTAACCTTACTCCCATGGAATTCACGGGCCTTCTCTAAGCATGGCTAAATCTGGACCCAACTCACCATGTCCAAGTAAATTCTATATCTAGTAGATTTCTGCATTGCGGGGATTGGAAAATCAATTATTTGATTTTATGAGAATCCCCTGGGGTTTGCTTGCTTATATAGATTTTTGCACCTGACCCAGAGAGCACTTGGGGACTGAGAACCTTTGTAAGGAGAATTTGAAATCTGCATGACTTAAAATCTACATGGAATTTAAAACAGTAAACACTCCACTAGCAACATTTACAGGTGCATACACAGAAAGCGAGACTCAAAGGAGCCTGTAGTATCACATACGTATATGGGGTAGAAAACCCTACTGAAATCTCAGAGATGCCTTGACAACTGATTCTAGAACTGTCTGGCGTGGCTGTGCCACATACAGCTTAATCCTCAAATCTAAGGCCATTTTTACAAATAGCACTTAAATTAGTTTTGCATTTTCCGTATTTTATTTTTAAAATATGCTGTGGAATGCATATTAGCTAGAACTGAAGGGGGCAAGGGAGGAAAATAAGCACCAGAATTTTATTTATTTACATGAGCTGCTAGTGTTTTTTTAGCTTTATGGCTGGTTACAGCTCCCATAAATCTAATAAGAGGGTTTGAGAATTTTGGTTTTATTTTTTTACATGAACAACTTTTACTTTGGACCAGTTATGCCTATTAAGAAGCTTAAAAGTGGCTTGGAATAACTGCTTGTTGCAAAGTTCCTCCTAGAAAATAAATAGTAAACAGGAAAGATGGCATATTTTATGTGTCAAATTTTGTACTGACATCAGACAACTAGAACTTTCTTTGTCAGGCAGGTAAGACAGAAACATATTTTGTTGTTGTTGTTGCACTTCTCACATTTTTAGTATATTAACCAGCAGGGGTTTTAGCTACTATCAGAAGTGTTTTTTTAAAAAATTAGAAGGTCGGTGGTTCGAATCCCCGCTTCGGGGTGAGCTCCCGTTGCTCGGTCCCTGCTCCTGCCCACCTGCAGTTCAAAAGCACGTCAAAGTGTAAGTAGATAAATAGGTACTGTTCCAGCAGAAAGGTAAACAGCGTTTCCGTGCGCTGCTCTGGTTCGCCAGAAGCGGCTTAGTCATGCTGGCCACATGACCTGGAAGCTGTACGCTGGCTCCCTCGGCCAGTAAAGTGAGATGAGCGCCGCAACCCCAGAGTTGTCTCCAACTGGACCTAATGGTGAGGGGACCCTTTAGCTTTACCTTTTGCATTAGATAAAGCTGAGAAGTTGTCTTTCAATTCTGTGTGATCTGGGGAAATAAACAATCTGCACACTCATCTATTAACAGTAAATTAGCCAATGGAAGATAACCAAGATTTGTGTGCCAGTTCTCTTTTCTAATATCCCAAATGGAACCTGAACTCCACACTTGAACAATATATTTCAGCCGTGGAAAAATACTCACAGTTTTAAGCTGGATCTAGTTGGAAGTTTCCCATTGATTTTCACAGAATTTGCATGCAAGTAATTGTGCTGCCCAAGGCTGCAGCTCTGTGCATATCTTATCTAAAACCTATTTCCTACAAACTTCTGTGAGACTTCATTTCGGAATAAACCCATTTGTGGTCAACCTGCAAAAAAGTATGATGGTGCCAGAAGCTCAGTTGCACAAAGTTTCTGTCGTTCCGCTTGAGCCAGTATGATTTAAAAAAACCCTAAGCAAATATTATGTATAACAAAGATCTGCTTAAACAAAATAAACAGTAGATACCTATTTCTCAGACCACAAACCCAAACCGCTGGAGGGAATCAAGTACGGTATATCATGGGTAGAGAGAACATAAATGGACAGCAGAACTTAGGAAGACCTCAGTGCCTTCCATCTTGAAGAGCTGTTGCCAGTCAAAGTAGTAGATTCTCCATACTGGGCTAGACATCCTGAATATTGATATAAAACAGTTCTGTATGATGATATGATACTTTTTATTCCACTTCCTTCTGTTGATTAACATATGTAAACTTTCCACCAAAGTATTACTTTCCTTGAAGAGCTCTATGTAGGAACATCCAAGCTGTTTTATAGCAGTGCCTACAGCAGAGGTTGGTTTGTGGATCACTGGTGATCCACAAGCTTCATTCAGGCGGTCTGTGGCACATCTGTTGTTTTGTGATGGAAGACAGGATATGGAACATCCATCACATTACATACTCGTATTGATTTTTAATTGCATTTTTATCGCTTTCACTTCTTGTACTGTGTTTAGCTGTGTTACAATTCGGATTCTACAGAATCGAAATTGCAATACAATATTTAAGGAACAAAATGAGCAATAAAAAGACAATTAAAAATCCATGCTGCATCTAAGCACAGCATATTACAATTACTACGGCAGGCAGGGAAATCGCATAATGATTTCTACCAAGCCCCCCCAGCGGTTTTCAAGCAGTCCATGGGGAAAATAGGGAACTGCTAGTCTCTCTGGAATTCCAAGCAGGAGTCTTTTCCAGCTGGGAAATGCTAGGGGTTTTGTGTAGGCAGATGGTATTCTCTTCCACTGAGCTATGGTTGTTTTACCCAAAATGAAGGTGGTTCCAAAAATATGAACAAAGGCTTTGCTTTCTGTGCTTCTCTTTTCCCCTTTGTACTGACACAGTCCCAGTATTCCAGAATGTGAACGACCACTGCAAATCTGCTGCTTCAAGGGACCTTTGAAGAAGCAGATTTATTCCATTGCCTCCCCCTGCAAATGAGTTCATTTGCTCCTTACCTGTGAAATTCTTGATGCCAATCTTATTAGGCAGACCCTAACTATCCATAAGGAAATCTGATTGCTGCAACTTCTGGACTCTTGGACTGCAGGAAATTGGCCATTCCTGCTGTAGATTAAATGAAAAGAAAACATTTGTCACAGGTACCTACCTAGAGGTAAATAGATACGAAGCATATGAAAATGCAGCACACCAAAGGTAAGAACAGCCCTGCTGCATCATGCCAGTAAAACCTGAATTTACTGTGGGAACATTTGGTTGAAGTTTACAATACTACAGTGATAGATTGGGGCAATAGAGTGTGACACTAGCAGCTATACAACAACTATCCATAGTTTCTATAAAAAAATTGGAAATACACTGCAAAAAGAAACGTGATAGAACAGAAACGTACCACGAGAACACTGACAATTTATTTTATTATTTTATTTATTAAATGAAAATTGCCCATCCATTTTTCAAGTTAATTAGTAATTAACATACTGTCGGGATGTTTCACCAAAGGTTCCTAAAATTTTATCAAAAGAACTCTTAAGACAGCATTCCTAAAACTACTTATTGGGGAACAAGCCTCGCTGACTACAGCATACTTTACATAAATATTATTATTAGATGTATCCTTCCTTTACTCCCAAAGGAGCCCAAAGGGTGGCAAACATGAAAATGTCAAAACAATAGAGCTTGAAGAAAAACATTTAAAACAAGTAAAACCATCTAGAACATTTAAAAACAAAAACTATCTAAACATATTCTTCTTTATTTTATTTTTAAAGAACACACCTCATGGTTGTTAATTTCAAAGTTGCCATGACCAATATCTATCAGCCATCAAATGTCTGGGTAATTTGGAATGTCTCTAAATTTCTCCTGAAAATCAGTAGTGTGGGAGACAGATCTCACCAGGTGGGCATTCGATAGATGGGGATCCACCAGGAAAGTCAACACCAAGCAGACAGCAGCCGCGTGTGGGACCACTAATAGGGTCTCTCTTCTAATCACAGGGCCCAGTTTAGTTTATTCTGGGGAGCTGCATTCCATGCATCAGTTTGCACTATAAATGTATAACCATAGAATGCTGTTCTAGGGATTCTGCTGTGGTTCTCATTGTATTGTTCTGTTTTCTTCCATTTCCCCTTTTTGATTTTGTGCTTTGTGTTTTCGAAGCTTCTTAAATCGCCCAGAGACTTTTCACGTGGCAAGCCATGAATAAATTGAATAAAAAATAACAATTACAACACCCAAATGATCAGCAGCTACATGCTACGAAATGCCACCATTTAATCATACGGGTAAACCTCATGACATCCTCTCTCCTTAAAATTTTGTTGCCTAAATGAGTAACAAGAAAACAGAAGCTGAAATTGAAACAGATGTGTTGAGCACAAACAATCTAGTTCCTCCCCTTAAGATTAGAATTAGCCCATAAATGAAAACTGGGTTTAGAACTAACCCAGAAGTAATATTTCTAGTCAACTTCTTGGAGTGGCTATGGGTCTTAAAACTAACATGCCTATCAAGGTAAATGGGTAATGGATTTGAACAATAGTCTCTCAGATGGGCTCTGGAGTTGCCAAAAAGTATAGTTTTGCTTGATGAGAGTCATCACCATTGGTGTATTATTCTGTAAAGGCTTCGATAAAATACATTTACTGTATTTTTCGCTCTATAACACGCACCTGACCATAACATGCACATAGTTTTTAGAGGAGGAAAACGAGAAAAAAAATATTCTAAACGAAACAGTGGATGTATGATTTTTGTGGTTCATGCTGTGGCCACAGACATGTGATCTGACGGTGAGTTTGGGGTAGCCCAATGCAAAAATCCTGAGGATCCATGTGGATCCGTGCTTTGTAACCACATTTTTGCACCACTGCGGCCCCAGGCAACAGTGGGTACATGATTTTTTTGGTGCAAGCTGTAGCCATGGACATGCTATGTGATCTGATGGTGAATTTGGGATGACCCAGTGCAAAAATCCTGAGATCCATGTGGATCCGTGCTTTGTAACCACGTTTTAAGTGGGGAGGGAAGGAAAAGCACTCAAGGGACAAGGAACACGTGTGGGGTGGGTGGAGAAGGATGCTGTTAATAATGCAGAAGAGGGGTATAAGATGAGAAGGCTCCTCTCCTCTCCCGCTTTGCTCCTTTAAAGCAAGCAGGCTCTCTGTCCCTCTCTCCTCCCCACTCAGCGGCTCTTCTCCTGCTTTGCTGTTTCAAAGCGAGCCACAGAGGAGGGAAGGAAGGGGAACCATGGATCCTCTGCTCACGACTGCAGCAGATCCCCCCGCCATCCGTAGGCATTCGCTCCATAACACGCACAGACATTTCCCCTTACTTTCTAGGAGGAAAAAAGTGAGTGTTATGGTGCAAAAAATACGGTAATCAGTCCTGGAACAATTGCTGGTGGTACAGGAAACAAAGGTACGACCTTCCCCTTGTTGATTACAGGGAAATGTTCAAAAATGTCAAAATACTGGAAATTATGATTGGATCATTGATAGGATGATCCAATATAGGATCCCACTAGAATATCCTAGTTTTATTTAGGTTTTTTGAGAAAAGATGTGGTAGAACCAGAAGACCTAGAAATTATTGTTGTGTTTTTATAGCTACAGAAACAGCAGTTGCACAGAAGTGGGAAGAACTATCCAGAGAGCTAGATGTGTTAGTCTTCTGTAGCAAAAACAAAGAGTTTTCAGGATTCTTAAATACTTAGGCTGCAATCCTAACCATGTCTATTCAACAGTGGGTCCTGTTTAATTCAGTGTGGCTTAATCCCAGATTACGGGTTTGGATTGCAGCCTATCACATTTATTTTGGCATAAACTGTTGTGCCCCATCAGAAGTGGAATCTAGTCTGTGCAAGTTTATATCGTAATAAATGTGTATTTAAGGTGGCATAAGACTGTTGGTTTGTGGCAAAAAGAATCCACCATCTACAGTGAAATAGTTGCATGGGGTCTGGTAGATACAACTTTGACTTCCATAATATGATGTTGAAACATCTAGATCAAGGGAAGTAATAGTGCCACTGTATTCTGCTCTGGTCAGACCTCACCTGGAGTACTGTGTCCAGTTCTGGGCACCACAGTTCAAGAAGGACACTGACAAACTGGAACGTGTCCAGAGGAGGGCAACTAAAATGGTCAAAGGCCTGGAAACGATGCCTTATGAGGAACGGCTAAGGGAGCTGGGCATGTTTAGCCTGGAGAAGAGAAGGTTAAGGGGTGATATGATAGCCATGTTCAAATATATAAAAGGATGTCACATAGAGGAGGGAGAAAGGTTGTTTTCTGCTGCTCCAGAGAAGTGGACACGGAGCAATGGATCCAAACTACAAGAAAGAAGATTCCACCTAAACATTAGGAAGAACTTCCTGACAGTAAGAGCTGTTCGACAGTGGAATTTGCTGCCAAGGAGTGTGGTGGAGTCTCCTTCTTTGGAGGTCTGAAAGCAGAGGCTTGACAACCATATGTCAGGAGTGCTCTGATGGTGTTTCCTGCTTGGCAGGGGGTTGGACTCGATGGCCCTTGTGGTCTCTTCCAACTCTATGATTCTATGATTCTATGATTCTAATACATAGCAAAGAAGGAAGACTAATTAGCCATTGTTTTCAAGGAAACAGGTTTTATTTGTGGTGCATGGGAACAGCAAAGTACAAGATAATGTCCAGGCACATGCCTTTGTTGAAACCGTAATGATTTATTCGTAACCACAATTATTTACCAAAATACTGTTGTAAGATTTATCTATAATTTATACAATAATGTGATTTTTTTCCTTTAAAAAATGTCAACTGTTTTAAGATAAGGCCATTGTGACATATTCAGGAATGCAGTTCCTGTAGACAATAGAAGCTGGGGTTGTTCTTGAAATGTTGAAACCACTTTCGCATGAAGCACTCAGACAGATTTGTGGAGGATGAAGCTATCAGTGCCTACTAGCTACAATAGCTACGTACTCCTGAATACTAGCTACTGGGAATCACACGTGGGGCAAGTGCCGTTGCACCCAAGTCTTGCTTATGGACCTCCCATAGGTTGGCCACTGGAGAATGCTGGACCTTTGGTTTGATCCAGCACACATTTTCTTATGTTCTTAATCTAGTTGTTGAGATTGGGAGACTTTGGCCAAGTACTGCTGTTGAACACTCTCCACTGATTTCACTGTATCCTTTGACCTTCACCTTTCATTCACATATGCCCCTGCCTTATATTGAGTACAGCCCAGTATTCTCTGCTTTGGTAACAACTTCCCATAACCTCAGGCGGAGACCTGGGACTCAGCTAGATTGGTTTTATATGTGTTGAAAGAAAGAAAAAGTGTTTTATATGTGTTGCATATGTGATATACCACTGTGTACAAGACTCCTGACTGCTTCGCTCACAAGGGTCATAGGAATGTACAAGCCCACTCACCACAACAAGGTGATGATCCAGTGAGTGAGCTATTGTACTACCAACCTTACTGTATGCTTGTGAAACACAGACCACTTATAAATGCCATCTCCAACTCCTCAAAAGATTCCATCAACAGTGTCTCCGAAAAAATTTACATATCACTTGGGAAGACAGGCGAACTAATGCCACTGTACTGAAAGAAGCAAAGATCACCAGTGTCAAAGCAACAATTCTTCAACATTAACTTTGTTAGACTGGTCATGTTGTTCGGATGCCTAATTATCGTCTTCCAAAGCAACTACTCTATTCCAAACTTTAAAATGGGAAGTGTTTTGCTGGTGGTCAACAAAAGAGGTTTAAAGACTCTCTCAAGGCAAATCTAAAAATATGTAGTATATAACACAGACAACTGGGAAACACTGGTCTGCGAGCGCTCCAGTTAGAGAACAGTCTTTACCAAAGGTGTCATGGGCTTTGAAGACACTCAAACTCAGGACGAAAGGGAGAAATGTGCTAAGAGGAAGGCACGCTTGGCAAACCCTCACTGTGATCAACTCCCACCCGGAAACCTATGTACCCACTATGGAAAGACATGTGGATCCAGAATTGGCCTCCACAGTCACTTACGGACTCACTGTTAATACCATATTTATGGAAGACAATCTTACTTGGCTACGAGTGATCACCAAAGAAGAGGAAGATAACAGTGTGACACCAAATGGCACTGTGGAGTCCCGTCTTTCCCTACTGGATTTCCTTGTACGAGTTTACAACACATCTAACTGAATCGCTTCTTTGACGTGTCTAGATCCAGCCCTGCTACCTTCAGTTCTTTTAACTGGAAATCTTCAGTCTTATTATACATGTGAAGCAGAGGCTCTCAAACTCTGGTCTGTGAGCCGCATTCAGGTAATCTATAACAAGGTTGTAGAACATTCTAGAATAGCTGTAGTTGGGCCTGTACTTGATTGCGGTTCCCTACCCACCATGGAAATCGAGGCCATTTTGAAGCAGGGCTAGATGATGAAACAAGCTAAGAAAGCTGCGGCCTCCATGATTTTCATAATACTGCAGTGGTTTTGAGAATTATGCCAGAACAGAAGGGGGAAAATATTCTATTTGTATTTGTATTTAATCCAAGAGCACGTCCACTGTATTAGAAATGCAACACTATGGTTATTAAAATTAGAGTTATTTGTCTCCTGAGACAGACAGATGCCAGCAACGATTTAGGTGCTTTATTTTGTAGAACAAAGGAAGTTTATTCAGTGATTCACTGAGACCCTCAGCAATTTTCAAGCAGTCCATGGAGTGGGAACCTCTCATGTAAAGGTTATACTGTTTCACTGAGCTGTTGCTGCCTCTTCTTCTGGGATAATACAATATGGTGCAGATCCCATTAATATCTAATCACTGCTTTTAAAAAGTATGTTAGCTTTGCTCTCGGGCGCAGTGAACTTACATCTAAAGGAAGGCAGGCTAATTTGTGGCCCTCCAGATGTTGCCAAACTACACTCCCATGAACCCCACCCAGCATGGGAGTTGTAGTTCAGCAACAACTGGAGGGCCAAACTGGTTCGCCACCCTGATCTAAGGTTTGTTATTTTCAAAAGCAGTTTAAAGGTTATTGCAAAACTTAAGGACATAATGGGAAATGGGGTAGTTTGCCATTAACTAGGTACTATATAGCTCTGTGTCACAATTTATGTCCGCGTTCAATTCCTGGCATCTCGCATTAAAAGGATCAGGTAGCAGCCAATGGGAAAGAGTTAAGCCTGAGACCCTGACCTGCCAATCACAGCAGACAGTGCTGGACTGGATAGGCCAATGTGTGTTCACATTACCACCTTAGGATGCAGTGAAGCTGATGTTTCTCAGTGAATTTTCCATCTCTTTCCCCACTAGCTGCTCACATCAGCACAGGTTCATCAGGGTTAGATTCATTTATGTTTTTGTATCCTCCCCAGGTGTGTTGACAGGCCAGGGATGTCTTATTCACACTGTGGCTAGAGACGAATTAGGAGCAGCTTAAGGACTTCAATCGGTGTGAAGCTGGTTTGAGAAACAACATATAAAATGGTAGTATTTTATAAGAAAGTACGGGATATCATATGTATTTAGGATAATGTGCGTGTGTGTGAATTCAGATTAAAAATCCAGCACTGGAAATGCAATGAGTGCACAGTGAATGTGTGAAGTCAGTCTTGGTATTACAAGGCACCTTCGTATGTTCAAAGTTTTGGAGTAGAGCATGACAAGCTTTGCAGAGATGGGGCACTAGGTATCATCACTGGCATCTTGGATTAAAGGATCAAGGGTTGGGGAAATTTCTCTCCTTGAGACACTACAAGCTGGGCTAGGTGGGATCAGTGTTGTGACTCAGTTAAAGGCATCTTCCTATGCACTTTGTACAAAATGTTAGCATTATAATAATCATTACCATTAATGTGTTTTCTCTGGGAATCATCGCATTTCCCCAGGTACAAGATCATTCCGTTTCAGTGCAATAACCCTGCAATAAAACCTTGCAGAATGACATTTGGATCATAGTGTATTTAATGGGAAACAAATGTGCATTTGTTTATTTTTTTCATACAAACAAAAGTGATTGAATGGGAAGTAGCTTTCTTGTTTGGTCATCTTCTGTGTTACAATAAATTTCTGTCCCTGGCACACTTTCCTAAAAGCAAGCAAGGCCCATCGGACACAGTGGGATTTACTTTTATGTGTCTGGGCACGTAAGATTGTTGTTAACCAAGAAATTATTACAGAAACCTGAAATTTATATGGAAATGTTTGAACTGTTATTATCCTCTGGGTTTGTGGAAGAGGTTTTCTGGTTTTCAAGAGGAAGGCGGCAAACTGAACAGGCTTGTTCTTTCCCTGAAACTTTCCAGAGACTTTTTATCACATGGACTTTGGATATCTACATAGCAGTGGGATTAGTAAAATGGACTGCGATTACAACTTCAGAGCAGTTGTACGCTATTGGGTGATCCAGTCAACAATTGGCTAAAAAGTACTAATGCAATCAGGAGTTTCAGGGTGTGATATGTAAGAAGGTAATATTTTGAAATTCAACACATTTATCTGGGAGTAAACCCTGCTGAGCTGAGTGGGACTTTCTTCTGAGTAGGCATGCATAGGATTGCACTATAAGGGAAGCAAACTGTTTTGTTTTGTTTTTAAAAAAGAAACATTATGAATGAACATAAAAGATGCTATCCTTAAGTATGTGGAGAAAAAAATATTAATGGGCTTGTGAAAGAGGTAGAGTCATATATTTGTGTAACGCAGATTATACTGATATTAATTATACCTGCTAAAGAGATCCAACAAAGAAGCCTATCCAGGAAATAAATAGCATTTAACCTGTTGGGAAATGTAAATGCTAAGCACAGCTTTAAATGATGAATCAAATTGCAAATGCAGATTGAGGACACTTTTTGGGTGGGGAACGTTTAAGGCTAGTTTGATTCTGGTATGTTATTATAACAGGATGTGAAACAAAATACTAAAAATCACTTTTGCTTCTGAGAATGACTACCGCTTATGAAATTGTGAGTTATCATCTACATCAGGCATGGCCAAACATGGCCCTCCAGCTGTTTTGGGACTACAACTCCCATCATCCCTAGCTAACAGGACCAGTGGTCAGGGATGATGGGAATTGTAGTCCCAAAACAGCTGGAGGGCCAAGTTTGGCCATGCCTGCTCTACATTGATCAGGATCTCAGAAAATCTGCTATATTTTGGTAATATGCAGATTTATTTGAAAAACTAGTTGAAAAATTAATTGGTTTAATGGAAGGTGATCAGTTCAGGCAGTTGACAGCCCTAATAAATATGCATAAGTATCTTGTATATGTATAAATATACATCAGTTTGACATCTCTGCCATAGATGCTTTCGATAAAGGGTATTCCTGTCCTAGGAGAGGGTCAACTTGCCCAGTTTGCAGGATGCAAAAAGATTCTGCAGGACAGTTCTAGTTAGCTCTTGGAGAATTCAAAGATAACACTGGTCAACAACAAATTTGTTGCCTGCGTTTTTTCAGTTGATTTAGGACGAATCTGATGCGCTGAATCCAAAAATCACATTGGTTTTGCTCAATCTGGTCAAGTTTTTGAGCTATGGCCACATGTCTTTTTTATGTTTTTGTTCACATGTACGCTTATGTGGAGCATTTTAGAAGAAGTTGGTGGGGGTAAAATGCCATGTTGAATAATTGTTTTGATTGGAAATGATTATTTTAATGACAAGAAGTATTCAGGTCCGATAGTTCTGGGTGATTATGTCGAAAAGGGATCAGTTTGAAGTGATAAAACCTCGAAATCTTCCATAAATTGGTGCGGCAAAGCATAAAGTTGGGGGATCAAAACTAAGTTAATGGGGCAGCCGCCCCACGAAGTATCCTTATCTTCAATCAGCACGTCGTCCTGTAGCTCATTGTGATGAAATTCCAGTGCCTATCTTCGGAGAACTTCCTGACATTAGTGACGAAGATGCCTCCAGTGTTGAAGGACATGAAGAAGAAGTGATGGTTCTTGAAGATGATGCTCCACATCCATTTTCCCAAAAGGAGTTGAATGATCTAGTTCGCGACCTCAGCTTGTCAAAGGACTCTGCCGAACTGTTGGCATCCAGATTGAAGGGGAAAAAAACTCCTCTCTGACAGTGCTCGCATCAGTTTCTTCCGCAACAGGCATCAAGAGTACCTCCGTTTTTTCTCGGAAGAGAAGGACTTGGTGTACTGTGCAGATATTGCGCAGCTTCTGCTCAAGCTTGGAGTGCCACAGTACGAACCCAAAGACTGGAGGCTGTTCATTGACAGCAGCAAGCGATCACTGAAATGTGTTCTGCTACACAACTGCAACCAGTTTGCCTCTATACCCCTGGCTCACTCGACTACACTGAAGGAGAACTATGAAGCGGTGAAGTATGTGCTGAAGCAAATTGGTTATGATCAGCATAAGTGGTTTATTTGTGTTGATCTGAAGATGGTGAACTTTTTGTTGGGACAACAGTCTGGCTTCACCAAGTACCCATGTTTTCTGTGCATGTGGGATAGTAGGGACCGTGCTCAGCATTACACGAAGAAGGACTGGCCTGTGTGGGGGGAACTGGTGCCTTGCAAAAAAAGGAACGTCATCAATGACCCTCTGGTGGACAGAGACAGAATACGCTTCCCACTGCTGCACATCAAGCTCGGCTTAATCAAGCAGTTCACCAAGGCTCTGGACAAGGATGGTGACTGCTTCACTTACTTGTGCCAGGCTTTTCCAGGATTGACCATGGAGAAGTTGAAAGCTGGCATCTTTGACAGTCCTCAGATCCGTCAGCTCATCAGAGATCCAGAGTTCGGAAACTCAATGAATGAAGTGGAACTGGAAGTGTGGAAGGCATTTGTTCTGGTAGTGAAGAACTTTCTTGGCAACAATAAGGCCAGAAACTACGCAGAACTTGTCAACAACATGCTGACTGCTTTCAGAAACCTGGGCTGCTATATGAGCATCAAGATGCACTACCTATTTTCACATATGGGCCGGTTTCCTGAGAACCTGGGTTCAATGAGTGACGAGCAGGGGGAGAGCAGGGAAATCAGGACATGAAAGAGATGGAGACCAGGTATCAGGGTCGCTGGGACGCAGTCATGATGGCTGACTACTGTTGGACTCTGAAGAGAGACCTCCCTGCTGCTGAGCATTCCAGGAGTTCCAAGAAACGGAAGTTCAATCCCTGAAGTTTGAAAAATGGTGAAGCAACATGCAATTTACGTGTACTTACCTTTATCAATGCCCACCACTCAGTTTACAGTAAACCTGACCTGATGGAGAGAAACGGATGCCATTTCCTGATTCAGCAGTGCAAAAATACCCTAAATCAGTTGTAGAAATCTAGACAACATTCAAAAAGTAAAAAATTGTTGCCCAGTGTAATTTGCTAAAGAAGAGCAGGTTTTAAGAGCATTTGTTACGATTATTTTCTTTCACCATATCCTTCATAAATAACTATAGCAATATTATCAACACAGTGAGGGTGTCTTTCAATAGTGGTTACGTGATAATCTGACACAGAACATAAAAGATGGCAGGAAATTGAGGAACAAGAGTGTCCTGAAATTTCACTTAGCTAAGACTCTTGCCTTTTCCTCCAGTTTCAAAGGCTGGGAGAGGGAAATGGACTGCCTTAACTTTCAGTTTCCTGGATGTTTTATAGCTTTGCCATGAACGTGTCCAGATAGGAATGAAAGAAGTGTGTGTGGAAAATAAAGCAAACATGAGTTGGGTTCTACATCTGAAGATCAAAGATTGAATTGCAAGCTCTTTTCTCCTCTCCCCCCCCCCCCGTGTTTTCTACACAGCCCTTTTTTGAGGGGCGTGGGTAGGGCTATTCCTTCATTTAAATAAATGTGACTTCCATCCAAAAAATACAACAGAGCTAAACGCTTAAGAATGAGGTAATAACACAGATTATCCCCCCCCCCATTAGATTATTAAACAGTTCCTTTTGCTTGTGATGAGACACATATAGAGAGAGGTAGAAAGAAGGGAATGTGTCAGCAGTCGCCACATGACATGTTGGCCTGCATGGCATCACAGCTTCTACAGTTTAATCAGGGAGTAGGAGACATTTGACAGCGGACACAATGTAATAAATTTAAACACGAGAATTCATCAAGGGCAATTCATTGTCATGTTTCAAAGATCTTCTCTCAGTTAATTATGTTAATGACTGGGGGGGATCATCCACCACAAGGGACGCTACTTTTGTGCATATCTATAAATCCTCAACTGCCCTAGAGCTTCTGTGCCATGGGTTGGGCCGGCCTTCTCATCAGGCAGAGTGAGGCATCTGCCTCAGGTAGAGCATGTTGAGGATGGGGATGGAGACTTGAAAGTCATCCTCCTGAGTGACCCCACCCATTCCCTTCTGTCGGAGGACCGCCATGTGGTCTGCTCTGAGCACCCCATGGGAGGACATTGTCCCATTACCAACCTTAAAGCAACCTGGTCCACTTCAATACGCTGAATTTTTTGTGTGAGGGAAGGGATTTTGTCCTTCTGCAAGCGCAACATCTTGTGCCATCCCTACAGGAGCCTTGCGCTGGTCAGCCTGGAGACATCTCTTGCTTCATTAACAGCCTTGAAACCATGGGGGTGCCTCCAAAGAGCAAACGCTGGGGATGATTTTAATCAGGGAAATTGTGTTGGAAAAGGGATAAGCTGAACCTCCTTCTCATAGCACCATGATCTTAACTAGGGATGGGGGGAGAAATTCAGTTTGGTTTGCATTTAAAGGCAAATATTAAATCTAAACTTTCCGAACCAACCTGAGAACCCAACCACAACCTGCCATCCTTCGAAGCTTGCACTTCCCTGAATTTTGTGACGTTTTCCTTGTCTCATGCAAATGTCTGAATGACAGAAGCAGCGCTCTTGTTTCTTTTAAAAGTTCTCTGCCAGCGTCTAAAGAAGCTGGTTCTTTGTTTTCAAGGGCGTTTAAGGCTGCTGTTACTCAGACAGTTGTCTCCCCCCTTGCTTCGAAAATGGGCTTTGAAATTGAAAGGAATTTTGAAAGCAGTTTGTGTTGTGATCATGGCATTGAGGGGGAGCATCCTTTGTTTAAGAGAAAATAGTATTAAAACCCCACTTGGCACAAACGAATTCTCCTTTTGACTCTACTAGCAGCGCAATCCTACGCATGTTTTACTACAAAGTCAGCTCCACTATGTACAATAGGGCTTGCTCCCTCCTGGGGGTGCATTTAGGGTTGCAGTATTAATCCCCATCACTTTGACCCATATATTTTAAAAGGCAGCCCTCCTGCTTACTGCCGTCTTTTATATATTTCTCAGCTGCTGTCATCATCATCATTATTCATTATGAATAATAGTGATTTTTCTAGCACCTGTAATTTGCAGGGAGCCTTTCGACCTTTCTTATCTTCGGCTTGGTTTAATTGTAGCTGCGCATTATTGTATGTGGTGTTTTTGCTTCGTGTGGGAGCAATTAAACCAAAATGAACAAGGTAAAGAAATGCCATAAAATTATTTGCAAATTAAAAGCATGACAAATGTTTTCCAGTTTATGATAGCATAATAAGCAGAATGGTCACCAAGCACTGGTACGTATTTGAAAGATGATACCCAGTCTTGCTTCTTTTAGTTTAAACCAAGGAACCAGGCAGAGGGTCTTCTAGGTAGTGGCGCCCGCCCTGTGGAATGCCCTCCCACCAGTTGTCAAAGAAATAAACAACTATCTGACTTTTAGAAGACATCTGAAGACAGCCCTGTTTAGGGAAGTTTTTAATGTTTGATCTTAATATCCTGTTGGAAGCCACCCAGAGTGGCTGGGGAAACCCAGCCAAATGGGTGGGGTATAAATAATATACAGTGGTGCCTCGCAAGACGAAAATAATCCGTTCCGCGAGTCTCTTCGTCTAGCGGTTTTTTCGTCTTGCGAAGCAACCCTATTAGCGGATTAGCGCTATTAGCGGTTTAGCGGCTATTAAAGGCTTAGCGGCTTAGCGGCTAAAAGGCTATTAGCGGCTTAGAAAAAGGGGAGGAAAAGGGGGGGAAATCGCAAGACTCACAAGACTTTTTCGTTTTGCGAAGCAAGCCCATAGGGAAATTCGTCTTGCGAAGTGCATCGAAAAACGGAAAACCCTTTCGTCTAGCGGGTTTTTCGTCTTGCGAGGCATTCGTCTTGCGGGGCACCACTGTATTACTGTATTACTACTATTATTAACACAAAGATGAAACTTGAGTAAAGGATATTAAAATGCATCTGCATATGTGCTGGCTTCAGCCTATAATTTTCCATAGCTATGCAAAGCAGGATGTGTTGTTTTCAGGATCCCACATTTTAGTACTTCCTCGAGTGCCCCAGAATTGTCTCCCATCTGAGGGCTGGAGAGCAGCGGTGGCAGCAATAAGTGGATAATTTAGGGGGATACAGCTGGCCTACTTTGCAGGCCAGTTGTGCAACAGCTGCACAAGGAAGAGTGTAAGCATGTTCTCGTAGCCTTCCCGCTTCACATGAGTGACTTTTCTCATATGTGAAACAAAATAAAAAATTGCACATAAAAGCTCATACTAATAACAAACTCAATTAGTCTCTAAGGTGCTACTGGAAGGGGGGAAATTATTTTGTTTTGACTACGGCAGACCAACACAGCTACCTACCTGTAACTGTTCTCATATGCGTGAGAGAGGGTTACAGAAGTGCTTCCTCACCCCAAGATCTTATGGATTTGGAGAGGAGAAAAATATGAGGCCCAAGGCTATAATTACTATGACTACACCAGGATTCTGGTTCTTGCCCTCTAGATTTCAATTCTGTCCATAAGTTTTGAACACAGATAGTTTTACTGTACATCAAGGCTTCCATTCTCCAGCTGCTAAACCAGCAGCTGGTGTTTACTTCGGGCAGCTGATATGTACTTGTCTCTGATACATACACACACACACTCTCTCTCTCTTAGTTTGCGCATTACTCATAGTTTGAAAATCACTTTTGACTCCTGTAACGTAATTATGTTAATGTCAACTGAGTCACACAGAAACAGAAAGCTCTGTATATCAAGACTTGGTGTCGGTTTCTGAATACAGTGCACTCCTGTACACAGGAGGAGGGGACAAAATTGCCGGATTGTGAAAGTCATGCTAAATTACAAGCCGCGGCTCAGAAGGAAGGTTAATTTTAATTCAGGTTCACTGCAATTACCATTTTGAAAGGAAGCTCAAGCAACTTTTTCCCATTGGAGGTAGATCGATTAAACAGCAGGGAAAGTTGGGACGCCTCCACCTTCTTGCCAAGCGATATTTGCAGAATAGGGTTCACAAACCGGCAAAGATAGGTACTGTATGCTTAAGCCCACGGATTTCAACAAGCAGAAGCCTGTCCAACTCTAGACTGCAATGTGGCTACACAGGCAGGACTATTCTTCATAATCAGCTATTGGTGCTGAGCAACACATTTCAATCCTAGGCACACTTGCCTGGGAGGAAATCCCAAATAATGGAGCTTATTTCTGAGTAGACATGTGTAGGATTTCACTGCACAGCAATGTATTAATTTAAACTAAACCTATTAATGTCAAGTGGTAGTTTAATGTCAAGTAGCTGGCTTTGGAAGATCTCTGAAATGTGCTAGACTGATACGTTTTTTGGTTCTGTAATACAGTAAGCCTGCAACTTATGCAGGGTTCTGGGGATCGTGCCTGAAGGCAAAACCGCCTAAAGTAAACACACACTGGGTGCAGTGGTGGGTGGAATTGTCAAATTCTTTTTTTCCTGGACACCCAACCCCTTTTCCATTTTTGGTTTTTTTATTTTGGGCAAGTGTGGAAAGCTGAATTCATCCATTACAGGGGCACAAGTTGTGGGCTTACTGCACGTTCTCCTCAGAAGGAAAATGAACGTGTAAGGGTTGGTGTGTCTGGAGAAGTGGTGCGTATGAAACCCCATTATTTAAACTACAGTATCCTGTGGGATAGGTTGCTTCAATAAATTGACCTATTTCTGAGTCACACGGTGTCAGTACTTGCTTTTTCTTTTAAATTGGTTTTTATTAAAGATTTTCTGTGACACAAAGAAAACAAATAAACAAGGGAAATTGCATACAGCGTCTCCACTTTCAATTCCTAGAGTCATACAAATAAAGCATACTGCAACAAAGCTCTGGACCCTCAAATCTCTCACAATATAGGGCTGCCATATGTCAGAAACAGTGTCTGGGTGAAAATCGCTAAAATGTCCAGGAAAATCCAGGCATGTAGATTTTGGTGAATTCCTTAAATTTCCTTTTATGAGATTTTGGGGAAAACACTCAACAAACTTTGGTTTCTGGATTTTCACTTTTTGAAATACTGCAACCCTCTCACAATGCCAATAAAAATAAATAACTATATAAATAAAGGACCTACGCATGAGACGCTGACACAAAAACCCTGCACAGACACTATGCAACAGAATGAAAAGATCATTATCCCATCTCCTGCAACCCTTTCCCTCCCTCTCTCTCTCCCCTCTTTTCCCCCAATGTCCATGGCAATACCAAACATAAATGCAGTGTCCATATTTTTAAGGCAAAGACCTTTTCAGACCAATAGTTCCCTTCACAAACACACAGATAAACATGTTATGTTGTTGTTGTTGGCGGTGGTAAGCAAGTACATATTTTCTACATACAGAGATGGGTGTGTGAGTACAGTGGTACCTCGGGTTACAGATGCTTCAGGTTACAGACTCCGCTAACCCAGAAATAGTACCTCAGGTTAAGAACTTTGCTTCAGGATGAGAACAGAAATCGCATGGCGGCAGCGGGAGGCCCCATTAGCTAAAGTGGTACCTCAGGTTAAGAACAGTTTTAGGTTAAGAACAGACTTCTGGAAAAAAATTAAGTTCTTAACCCGAGGTACCACTGTACATGTAGGAACTAGCCTCCTGCACAAAAGTAGGATTTACATTCACTGCTCCGCCTACTTTTGTTTCCAGCCCTAATCACTACTGGTATGTGGCCCCCAGAAGGCTGACAAGAAAGGACTGCGGCCCTTCAGCTGGAAAAAAAAGTTCCTCTCTAAATGTAACAGCCATGAGGGTTGCCAGGCAGGATCAAAGCAGCAGAATCAGATTTCTACCTGGCCCTACCACTCTGATTCCAACTAAAAATCTCTTCCCCTCCCAATCTACTGTTTGCACATCAGGAAGGTGTCCTCCATTGGCACCAAGGGGTGTGTCCTTCCCTATGCAAACAGCAGTTGGGGGGGGGAGGGATTTTAAATAGGGCATTGGGAAGGAAAGAGCTAAGCTCCCCCTCTGCACACACCCAGCTGTGCTTCAATTTCACTTGTCCATATACGTCAGATCTAAAACAACAGACTGTAACATGTTGAATGAGTAGCATTCTCCCTTATTGACAAATTCAGAAGAATACTCATGTCTGCCAAACGTAAAAGACTTAAGGTATGTTCATTGTTAGTGGCCCAGATCCGGCCCAATCGCCTTCTAAATCTGGCCCACGGATGTTCCTGGAATCAGCATGTTTTTACATGAGTAGAATGTGCCCTTTTATTTAAAATGCATCTCTGGGTTATTTGTGGGGCATAGGAACTCGTTCATTTCCCCCCCTTCAAAATATAGTCCGGCCCCCTACAAGGTCTGAGGGACAGTGGACCAGCCCCCTGCTGTAAAAGTTTGCTGACCCCTGCCATAGATCATGGCCACACATCTCAAACTGGTCACAATTAGACCATGCCAAGTCACAAAACGCACCTGGAGCCCCGGGAATTTTCAACACTGCAGAGAGGGCGAGGATGCTTTCACTGAAAGCTAGGGACATTTTGGGTTTCCCTGCCCCTGCAACACGCAAACCCCAAACACTTATTCGTTAAGCTGCCACCTGACTTGCATGCTCATCTGTACCTATGTGATGGCCATTACAGTTTTCCTCATTTATTTTTATCACACCTTTCTCCAAGGAGCGCAACATGTTGTATATGGCTCTCTCCCTCCTCGTTTAATCCCCACAACAACCCTGCGAAGAAGGTTAGGCCGAGAGGCAGTGATTGGTCCAAGATCACCCAGTGAGCTTCTTGGCCAAGTGGGGATTTGAACCCTTGTCTTCTACATCCTTGCCTGGCACTTTAACCACTGTACCACACTGCCTCTGTTCAGAGTCCTGCGGATTCCTCCACATTGTTTTCTAATCAGATTGAAGCTGGTTTGAGGAAGGAACATGTCCAGCAGCAGTATTTGTCACGGAACCATAGGATTGATATGGATTGTAGCTCTTGTGCAGCGGCCGCGTTGAAAATTAGCAGTGGGAGCACACTGGATGTGGAGTAATTGGAAAGGTGAGCATACCCATACAGAGATTTAAGAATGTGCTTCACTTGCTGCCACCAAAGTCAGTGGTCCTTTTCACAAATTTCCTTAGGCTGCAATCCTATACACACTTATTGGAGGGTACACACCATACATTTGAAGCACAGGACTAGCTCCAAAGAATCCAGGGAACTGTAGTTTGCCAAGGGTGCTTGGAATTGTAGCTCTGTGAAGTGTACGCTACAGTTTCCAGGTTTCTCTGGGGAAGCCATGTGCATCAAATGAATGGTGTGTACACAGTCTAAGTTCCATTAGGCATAAGACTGCAAACTAGAAATCTCATTTCTCAGCTGTGACACAGCTCAAATACAGAATATGTCTATTTGGTATTGGTGAAATAGCGGCATGCATATGTTCAGTGATATTTAGTTACCCCAAAAAAGCTCATTGATTTGGAAACTCCCTCCAGAGCATAAATTCCCACCCACCCACAGCAGAATGATTGATGCCCTGACACAAAGAAACATTGAACAAAAGCAAATTAAGCCACTTCAAACAGATATGTGGAAACTGTTGACCTTCACAGGTCCTGGGTGACACCCCCAGATGAATCTTGTGAATACCTCTCCAAAACTCACGAGATTTAACCCTCGTGAATATAGCTTTACAATCTGACCATCAGTGTTCATTTGCTAATTTCAGGAAAGGGGGGCAGGGGGAAATGTCTATTTTCAGGCATTTGCAAAACTAATCTGTGATGGTCAACATTCAGTGTTCACCGTTAACAGTCCCAAGCACTGTTCTCTCTCTCTCTCTCTCTCACTCACACACACACGTTTACATGGATGTATATAGTATTACCTGGGAAAGTTGAGAGATGAGCCAGTTCCAGACCTGAAGCAGCCCTCGGTCTCTGGGAAAGCTGAGCTTCTCTCTTTTAGCCTGACTCCTCATCTCTCTTTCAAACGTCTCCATCTGCTCCCTTAGCCAGAACCTCAGTTAATGACCTAAATCTCCTTTGCCCCCCAGGCACCCCCCAAGTAACCAACTGTTGTTACTAAATTAGGTGGGAATATGAAATCATAGCATAGGTGACTAATATGCGCCCTATAATTCTCCACTACCCATGATCTAAATATGAAGCAACCGCATCATCTCGACCTTACCAGTGCGTGAGGGGCTGTATTTCACAGCAATGCCCTTTGCTCAAAAGATAACCTACTAGGGACAACATCTGTCGTTCGAAACCGGTGAGACTGACATGAGTTCTAAATATTTTTGTGTGATCCCCTGCTCCTCTAACTACTTAAGTCATTTTCTGCTTTTTAGTGTGTGGAAATTTACAGCCAGCGGCTCTTCCTTTACAATACAAAGACATGTCAAAAACAGCATTTTTTTAAAAACGGGGGAAAAAGAATCACAATGTTTAGAAAAGAAAAAGCCACGTTCAATTTCAAAACAAGTGATAAGGAAGTTATTCTTAAATAAGTTAGTTATGAAAGAGGTAGTGTGGTGTAGTGGTTAGAATGCTGAATCCTTAGGAACAGGAAGGCATGAGTTCAAAGCCCCACAATCATGAGGTTCCCTATGTGATTTTGGACAAGCCCAACTTACTCTGCCTAACCTACCTCTCAGGGTTCTTGTTGTGACAATGGAAGGGTGGGTGGGGAGGAAGAACCATATATGCCTCTCTGAACTCCCTAAAGGAAGGTTGGGATAGAAACAGTAATAAATCATAGAATCATGGAATCGTAGAGTTGAAAGGGGCCCGAGGGTCATCTAGTCCAACCCCCCTGCAATGCAGCAATCTCAGCTAAAGAATCTATGACAGATGGATGCAATACAAACAATTCTGATTGTATTTTTAACACTTAAGTTTCCAGAATCGGGAATGTCAATATTACATGTGGTTGTTGTGGTGTCTTCTTCTTCTGTTGCTCATCAGCATCTGGTATTCAGTGACCTACTGTCTGAACATGTTGCACAGAGTCATCACAACTAGAATTGTCCCTGAATTTGTCTAGCCAGTTTGAAAAGTCCTCTAAGCTTATGACCAGTACAACAGGGGAGGCTCACCTGGCAGTGGAACGGTCATTGCACACCTTCAGGCACCAGGCAAAAGCATTCTTTGTTAATCAGGCCTTTGGCTTTTACCTATGACCTTTTTGTCCCAGTGGGATGTTTCAACCTATTTTGTGTGTGTGTGGCTGGTTTTAATGAATGTGTTTGGTTTTTTGCTTAAAATATTGTAAGTCACTTTGAGTTGCCGTGGCAAAACAGTGACTTATTATTCTTATTCTTAATGTGGCAGCCAATCCCATAAAACAGGGATGGGAAACCTGTGGCTCTCGAGATGTCGGATTCCAATTCCCATCATCCCCAGCCAGCATGACCAATGGTCAGGGATTATGGGAGCTCTAGCTCAAAAACATCTGGAAGGTCACAGTTAGTTAATTATATGCTGTGTGAAACAAAGTTTTCTCCTTTTTTAACAGCAGCATATAAACAGAAAAGCATCAGTTTGGGCTGGTCAAGAGGCCTTTGGGTTTTCTACTCATATGCGACAAAGCCATGGCATGCTTATTTATTATGGTTATATCCTACCTTTATTCCAAGGATTTTAGGGAGTACCGTATTTTCCCTCATGCTCAGTCCTCATAACAACCACCCTATGAGGTAGATTAGGCTGAGCAATATGGAGTGGCTGGTCCAAGGCTGGCCAGTAAGCTTCATGCCTGAATAGGGAGTTGATCCCGTGTCTTCCTGGTCCATGTCCACCACACTAACCGCTGCACAAGAGTAACACTGGACTTAGGTGCCCCATGGGATTCTCTACTGCAAACATCTGTGACACATTTGATTTCAACCATATTATATAAGCAAGCCCTTGAGTGGTTACACACACAATCCAGCATGACCAATGTATTCTTGGCATCATTCCCAAAGTCAGTGGAGTTTTTGAGTTATTACGGAATGACGGTTACAACTTCATCTACGTTGGACAATATTGCTTTCCTCTCACACACCACAGTATTACAGTGTGGGATAGGCACACAAATTCCATTTTAATTCAAATGGCCCTCATAAGATGAGAAGGCAAGTGATCACATAATATGGATCTTAGGATGGCTGTTCAGCTATCTCCAACTGGTATGAAGAACAGTTATCAGAAAATGTAACGGGCTTTTTAGAAGTTAACACTAACCAATGTAGTTTACAGCACAATCCTATACAAGTCTACTCAGAAGTAAGTCCCAAGGAATTCAATGGACCTTACTCCCAAGTAAGTGGATATAGGATTCTAGCCTTAGACTACAAACAATTTGTGTTCCAGACAAACTATGGTTCCTATCATTTCCCCTTTCTTCTGCCTTCCCTGAGAACTCCCATATACTATCACTTTAACAACTATTTTATATGGCGTCATACTATTGGTGAATCTGGTTGAGTACGATCTACTTTGATTGGCAGCAGCTCTCCAAGGTTTCAGGTACAAGCTTTTCCGAGTCCTACCTGAAGACACCAAAGACTGATTCTGAGACCTTCTGTATGCTAGACAGATGTTGGGCCACTGAGCTACAGTCCTGCCCCTCTGAGGGTGGCAAGGCAACACCCCAAGCCATGATCTGTTGGTTTGGGTTTCACATCAAACCATAGTATCCCTATATTTTTTATTCAACTACCAAACAATGGGGGCAGATAAAGAGGAAGGCTGTTCACCTCAGGCTTGTATGTTTCCTAGAAGCATCTGGCTGGCAACCATTGGAAAGAGAATGTGCAATTAAACTGGGGCCTTTGGTCAGATGAACAAGCCACTTGCATCCATTGTAACCAGGCTCAGATTAGGCCAATAATCTGCTGTAGATTAAGGCTTTATTCTTTGATTACATTTCTATCCCACCATTTCCCCAAGGAACTCCAGGTGGTGCCCAGTATTATTCCCCACTCCCCTTTTCATCCTCACAACACCCCTGTGAGGTGGGTTAGAAATGAGGGGGCAGTGGCGGACCCAAGGTCAAGCGCCGGGTTTCACGGTTTAGTAGGAATTTGAACTCTGTTCTCTCTCAGCTCCTAGGCCACCACTCTAACCACTACACCACACTGTCTCCCAGGAGGTCTCTCATCCTGGCACTGAACAGACCCAAGACCTGTATTCATATCCTGTTGCTGTTTTTTAACAAAATTTAACAAGGCTGCTTTCGTTTTTCGCTTTAAAAAAGAAACTCTTCATTGGGGACGTCGTCTCCTTTAAAGGCTCCTGACTGCCGCTTCCTTCTGCATTCGGAACCCAGAGCGGAAGGGAAAAGGTCACTGTCCCTTTAAGGCCGCCGCACGCCAGCGAACATTCCAAGCTCTCCCCGTCCCTCTTTAGCGCGTCAGCGGCATTCCGGGAAGAGGTCGGCGTCGGCCCCTCTCCGTCCTTGACAAGAGGGGCGGGCGGCGACGCGAAACAAAGAAATATTCGCGTCGCGAAAGAGGAGGAAAGAGGATTCAGAGCGCCGTCGCTTGCGCCCGAGCGCTTTCTGAGCGCTACGGCAAGCGACGAGCCCCCTTGCCCATCCGCACTCCTCAGAACTGGCAGGCCCGCCGCCGGGAGATGACTCATGAGGGGGCGTGGCTGCAAATCCCTGTTTCCTTCTCTCGTGCTATGACTCATCGTTGACCGCGGAAGCCCCCCGCGCACGCGCAGCAGTGCCGTCTATTTATAAACCGGCCCAAGGAGGGTGAGTGATGTCATGCAGGCGGCAGTTGGGCAGCGACCGAGATTCGGTCTCGCCCCGCCTGTTGCCTAGCGCCCTAGCGGTGTTTACTCTGCTGGGGGCCGCAGGTTGCCTGGCAACCGCGCCAGGCCGCATGAGAGCGGGAGGGCTGTGGAGGGGGGTGGGACCCTTAAGCAAAGGCCGCTCAAGAGGGGGACGAAAAGAAATAGGCCCTTAAAACCCTTTAGGGCTTCTGCTCATGCCCAGGAACACTTCCCTCATGTTGTTGGTTTTATTTAGAGGGGTTTTTGTCCTGCTTTTCAGCCCATAAAGAGTCCCAGGGTGGCTTACATATGTCAATAATAAGCATCATCATGCGTATTATATAACACATATATAGCTAGGTGTATTCTCCATGACAACTTTAAAGTTTCTTTTTAAATAGTCCCAGGGAGGAATAGTAAAGCAGGTTCATATAGTTGGGTTGGGATGAGGCAAGGCGTTCTAATTTATTGAAAGGCATGAAGCAAAGTTATTTATGCTGGGTCAAAGAGTTTCGCTTCTTTTTGCCTAAAATACAGTGGAATGTTGGATTAATGTGTTTTTTAGTATATTTTAGTATACTATGTTTCTAAAGAAATGTTAATATGAATGAGTTTTGGTATTATGTGTTAGGTTTATTTGTAATGGATGATTATGTGTGATTAAAAACCAATACAAAAATCAAAAAGTTCTGGGCCGATATCATGCCTTTAAACATATCTATGGTGTGACCGCATTTGAAAGACTGTATAATTCTGGTTGCCTCACCTTCCAAAGGATAAGGTAGAATTGGAAAGGGTTCAGAGAAGGTTAATCAAAATAATCAAGGGAATGGAGTGACTCTCTTAGCCATCATGGTGGCTATGATCAGTCTCCATGGTTAGAGACAGCAGCGCTTCTGAATATTGCTGGAAACCACATGTTCGGATGCTGCTTTTGGGTTTTCTACAGGCAGCTGGCTGGCCACAGAGAGCAGGATGCTGGACTAGTTGGGCCATTGGCCTGATCCAGCAGGTTCCTCTTAAGTTCTTATGACTGATTTGCCTTGAATTAAGACCTGGCAGCATTCTCTGTGAGTGGAAAAACATGGTCATTGTGGCACACAAAAAAAATTATACAGTGGTACCTCGGGTTAAGTACTTAATTCGTTCCGGAGGTCCGTTCTTAACCTGAAACTGTTCTTAACCTGAAGCACCACTTTAGCTAATGGGACCTCCTGCTGCTGCCACGCCGCCGGAGCACGATTTCTGTTCTCATCCTGAAGAAAAGTTTTTAACCTGAAGCACTATTTCTGGGTTAGCAGAGTCTGTAACCTGAAGCGTATGTAACCTGAGGTACCACTGTAATAGGTTTGGTTGTACCACGTGATGAATGTTTAAGATGGAATCCCAGTAGAATATTAAAATTTATTATTTATTACAACATTTTAAATCAGTATACATCTGTAAAAAGACATGAGAAATGGACCTTTAGGAAGGCAGGAAACAAAATGAAACCCGAGGAACGTGGGACCTGGGGTCAGATGAAGCAAGATTAGGAAAGAGGGATGATGAAACTGCAGGAAAAGGGAAAGAGCAGTGGTTCTAGGAAAGGAAGAGTGGAAGAAAAGTTGATAGAGGAAAGAGCTAAGATGAATCTGATGAGAGTTAATCTTAGTTCCTTTACTATCTCTGTCAATCAGAAAAGCAGCTGTAAAATACAAGTGGCCTGTGGTTCACACAGATGTGTGAAATTCAAGAGAGAAATGGAGCTATTCATAGATACTGAAGGCATGGACTATAGAAATAAACAAATTCAATTTGTCTGTTATTTTTCACTGTCAGCTTCCCCAGTGTTCTGCTCATGCTCAGCCCTCAAGCATTTTCAGCGTTGTTTGGAGCCAACGGAATGGCTTGGTGCCTTGGTGGTGAGCCTTGCTGTTGAATTCACAGGGAGGATTTTTTGTGTATTTGATGTGCCACCTGTAGTGACTTGAGACAATTGAATCTGGGCAGCCTTGTCACGCCCTCAAGGAATGGATAGGACATGGGATTTGTATGTAAGTGTTTGGGATCGTGCAGGTCCGATTGCGTAAAAGACAAGAAAGGAGTAATAATAAAGGTTCCTAGATTTACGGTTTTTATGGCTGTGTCCTGCTCTGTTGATGTCTTAGAGCCAGTTAGATCCTTCAGTATGGGGTTGCTTAATCAATTGTGCAAAACATGGAGCTCCGATGTCTTACTTTTATTCCCAGGATAGACTATAAAAGTAACAAATTACTTCTAACCAGATTGAAAAGATTGATTTTTTTAAGAATTAGAAGTAAGGGGGAAAATAGTGCTGCCAGTTTTTCCAATTGCTTTCTTTGGACGTGATTGTTAATTTTCCTTGATATATTGAGCTCTATAAATCTATGTTTGTCGCCATGTCTTTAAATAATACATATTAACCACAGATGAATTGAAAACTGCATCAGAACAGCAAGGCTTCTTGGTCAAGGGCTGTTCATTTTGCTTCTGACACTTTGTGGGGGCCTTTATTTGTAAATAAAAACCGCTAATGCCATGTAATATCATGTAAAATAGAGATTTGTAATTCAGTAATAATAAAAGAGAAGTGCCCCATATTAAGGACATAGGATGAATTCCAGTGTGGTAGTTCCACTAATGGAATGGCTTTTGACCCAATAGAAGTGTCTGGTAACAGAAAAGGAGAGGAGATGATTCTCCTGGATTTCAGCTATCTACATCATCTGGAGGATCCCCCAACTGTCTGGAACAGGTTTTGTGGAGGGTCTGCAGTGGGAAGGGGGAAATGGAGAAAATTGCCTCCCTGCTTAACATTAGTGAATGGCTCTGTTAGATCAAAAGTTGTTCTGTGCGTGGGACAGCAGCCTTGGATTTCATCCAACAGAGGCTGCTTTATACCCAGACAGACTGTTGATTCATGTAGGCAAAGAATTAAGGCTGCACTCCTTAACGTATGTCCTGGGGCGTGAGTACCATTGGACTTAATACTAAGTAAGAAGTGCATAGAATTGCACTGCCAGTGTTACCAAATTAGTGATGAAGCCCCTACAAAGTGTGTGACACTATTCAGCCCCTATGATACTGTGTAGCAAATCCCTCTTAAGACACCTGTTCAACCTTCATTCTTTTCTGTTGTCAAGAGCTGCAGTAGGGTTTGGTCATCCATGAAGAAATAATGTTTTGGGTACATTTTCTTTTGGTTCCTTTATTTATGTGCCTGTGGGCAGGGGCTTGGAAGAGGAGAAGGAAAAGCTTCATTTTTCCACATGTAATATTCTGGGATTGCCAAGTCCTAGGAGCTATTATGTTGATGTAATTGCCTCCTTCCTGTTCCTGGCTACGTAAATAGAATAGACATTTGGATCACCCGTGATTCTTCTAATTTTAGTCCCTATTTCTCAATTTTGTGACAAAAGACAGTGCTGATAAGATCTCTGAGAGTTTTCACGTGGGTCTCTCATTTCTTAGTTTCCAAAAGCAGAAAACTGGAGATCCACATGTTCGTATCAGGAGCTGAAGTTGAATATTAACTTGAATCTTGCAGGCCAGCTCTTTTCCACTCCAGACAAAATGTGAGTCTACTGAAAGCTACTGAGAATGTTTTTATTCCAGTAGCTTTTCATGTGACAGAAGGTGAAGGACAGTGCAACAGTGGCCGAAACCAAACTGCAACCACTCAGAATGTAGAAATCTTGGGGTCTCATTAGCAGTTTTCTTTTTTTAAAAAAATCTGAATGTATTGTTGTACTTTCATAAAATCATTCTTATCAATTTCACCAGTATGAGTTTCCCTCTAACTTTAAAAGGGCATGCATTTGTATCTGCACTGGAGCTGTTAAAAAGAAGAAAAGGAAACACTGCTAAAATTGATGCTTCACCACAATCTAAGCAGCGAAAAGAAGGAATAATTGAATTGGTGAAATTAACAAGGTTTCCCGGTTTTCCCAAAGGGAAATGGGAGGGGCTGACCATCAGTACAGAAAGGCATTAATGTAACCAGCCATGTCATGATGGGACTATATCCAAGTACACTCATAGGGCAGCATGGGCAAACGTCTAGTGTAGGCAATGAGGGCAGGGGAGGACAATGGCTTCTGCAGTAGCTGGAGGAGTGTCATGACCTTGAAAGAGGGGGAAACTGAAGTTTTTAAAGGCCACATGAACTGAAGTGAGGAAAGATTCCCCAACGATCATCAAAGTACTTCAAAATGTACATGTGATTTCAGTTTAAACTACAGTACTGCCTCTTTAACTTATTGCAACTTCACCTAAGGGCCAGGCAATGGCTGCTATTGAATCTGACTGGGAATATAAGGGTTTAGTTGAGCTTTGCACTTTGGCAGAGGAGTGCTGGCAATCCTTCTGAGTTCTCCCAAGTCCTACAGAACTCTACGCTAGCCTGCTTATTCAGAAAGCTTCTGTATTGGATTCCTGCTCCTTGTTTCATAAGCATCCAGCTACCTGCTGCCAGTCACCCTATGCTCCAGGCTGTTTCCTTTGAGCATTAAGTAGGCTCATGTAGGATTACAGCTTATAATACCTACTTCAACGTAAGCCCCATTGACTTCAATGGGACTTACTCCAGTGTGTGTGAATAGAATTGCGCTTTAAATTTGCATAAGCCACAGCACAAACGCATCAGCAAATGACCATGTATCATTGAAGGCAATGCTGTAAAACGGATGGGGAACCTGTCACCCTCCAGATATTGCTGGACCACAATTCCCACCATCCCTGATCATTGGACATATTGACCGGGCTGGTGGGAGTTAAAGTCTAATATCTGGAGAGCCACAGGTTCACCACCTTGCTATAAAATACTGTATGCACTAGTTTGCCTCTCGTTTACTTACTGCTAATCTTAGTGCATTTGTTTTACAGTCCATGCTTCTTCCTCTAAACTCTTATATTAAGTTTTATTTAAACAACAACAACAACAAAAAACCAGTTTCCATTGCTTGATACACATGCACATTTGGTAAGGCTTGCCCAATAGGCAATATGACAAGATATTAGGATGTGTTCAGGAATGTACATGGTGACTTCTTCTGCACAAGAAATTTTCCAAGCGTAGCGATGACTATCTTTACCTATCTTAAAATGGTTTACAATTAAAGAAAATGGGACCGGCCCTAATAATAGAGGAGATGCTGGACAATGGCCAAAGGTCGAAGATATTTAAGAGTTTTGTGTGGATCAGTTGTGGATAAATGTACGATCTCTCACATGCTGGGAAGCTGAGTTGTAACTAGGCACATATCACTGGATGTGGTGTGCGGTGTACATTTTTTCATGCTGTACTTGGTGTAAGATGAAGTGAAAAACACCCATCTGGACAAGCCCTTTGGATCTGATGTTAATGGGTTGGTTAAAGTCAGCCCCAGGCAAGAACAAGTCAGAGACAGATTAATACGTCCTGGGCTTTGAGAGAGTGGAGAAACTAGACTTTGAGAGGGGGTGGGTGAGTTTGATGTCTCTTGATCATTCAGGTTCATAGTCTTAAGGTTCTGCTACATCTATTGCTGAACTCAAATCTTTACACAGGGAAGAAGATCGTGTGGATTTCTGGATGATGCAGGATTCCACCCCGAGTCTACCCTAGTCAACATGGTCAATGCTCAGGGATGATGGGAACTGTAGTCCAACAATATCTGGAAAGCCACAGGTTTTCCATCTCTGCTTCAGATTGAGGAAGTGGCTATCAGCTTTTCCATCAAGCATCAGTGAGAAGAATGCAAATCATTTTAAGAAAGGTTTTATGAGTGTTTGGGAATGCAGACCATTAATATTTTTAGGGACACATATTGTGCACTGCAGTAATGTGCTAAAGGCTCTGTGGGTTGGATCCAAAGATAAGTGCATGGAAGGAAAGTTTCCCAGTTCCTCCTGCTATTACCTGCACCCCTTGGAAAACCCCTGGGAAGGATCTCTATGAAATGGGTGGATGCGAGAGAACTGTAGAAAATCATGAAGAGGCTTTCTGATTTTGATACCCCCCCTCCCATTCCTCAGTAGCCCTCTGTGCTACAAACTTCAACATATTATAAAATCCAAGGCTATGACTTGAATTTTAAGTTGAGTGAATTTGGCTTGTGTATATTACATTGCACCCATCTGGTTACCCCCTGTAAACCATACACAAAAAAGCATGGTTACTCATTTTTTGCCACTATTAATCAGCTTCCAACAAATTTCTAATTTTGCCCCTTCCAAAGAAACATTCATGTCTGTTTTACAGAAAAGAAGAAAGGCTTTATTAAGATGATTGGTAGAAACAATGTTTTCCAAACTTAGAACTTTCCCTCCAATCATGACCACGAATCCATGTGACTCGTGGTACAAGAGAGATGCTGAGGTCATCAAATTGTCTGTCTTTTGAGCATGACTCTTGACATGTTGACTTCTGAAGTTTCCTGCTTCTGTAGGTAGGGAAACACAAAGAACAGTGTGTGACATAGCGAAAAGAAGCGGTGACTAAGCATTTGTGCAAAAAGAAACACTCCATTATTTTTGTTCTGCTCCCTCTTGGTTATCAACAACCGAAGCTATAATTAACAAGCATTAACACTGGACCCTTTATGGGAACTTGCTAAAAATAGTGAGTCATAGAAAATACTCTCTTTTCTCTGTAAATTGCATGCATCATATGAATTTTGTATTTTTGTCTGCTTGGGCTATGAATACATATTCCAAGTAAATGTGGAGCAAACATACTGGAATGATGCTTTCAGAATATGATGTGGCTTCCTGGGGAAGCACCAGCAGCTGTGTGGGTTTATTGGAGAAGATGGAAACTAAATAGACCATTTGGTATTGCATTTATCATTGCATTATTGATTGACCACCAAAGAGGTATTAGCTGAACACTGGCTTGCCTCTTCAACAGAGAGAGCTGCCACCTGTGGAGCAAAAGGTCATAGAATCATAGACTTGTCGAGTTGATCTTAAGCCCTGTTGTGAAGAAAGTGAGACACTGCAAGTCAGAATACACAGTGCTGAGCTAGGTAGACCAATGACATGTCTAAGTACAGGGCAGCTTCATATATGTAC